AGAGCAAAGATATGTAGAGTTAAAAAGTCACACTGGCATCTTGCAACAATTACAGTCTGTGATATAGTGTCTTTTAATAAATATTTAGCGCTGCTTTATTTTTATTTTTACTTTTTTACCTCAACTTTGCACACACTGATATTAGCTAAAGTATGTCTCTTTGATGCATGGTAAGAGAACAAATGGTGCTATTGTATATCTTTTACATCGTACCCTAACCGGATACTCAAATTGGTCTACTCATATCTCTGTAAATGTGTGCTATTTGTATGGTGCTGGTGAGGATACGCAATAATTACTTGCAGTAGTTGCAGTTCACCACATGGAGTCAGTGTGGGCCGCTCAGCCTTTTGGGTCAAGCATCGTGTGTGTTGATGCCTCTGTGTGTGTGGGGGCTGGACAGGTTGAGTCAGATGCTATATTTATACTTTATGGGTGTGTGTGTGTTTTAGAAAATGAGTGTGAGCGCTGAGTGGCAGTCTGTGCTGCAACTTTCCCAGCGGGACACAGAAACCACAATATCCAAGCACTGCGGCTGCTGTGCCCAGCCCAAGCCACGTGGGTGTGCTGTGTAGGTGTTCTAAATGAGGGAGAGAAGAGATGGAATAACAAAAGCAGAAGCTGGTTTAAGTTTTAACATGGAAAATTATTCCAAACAGCAACAACAACAGCAGCCACGTACTAGCTGTTTAGTATTCTGCACAAGGGAAAAAGAAAAAGAATGTAAATTTAAACTGGTTTCATAATAGAAGTTCATAGATATTTATTAGCTTGCATCTACATAAACTATATAAACACTATCCTCATACATCTGTTATCATGATTATTGTTATTATTGTTTATCAGTTCTTTATGCAGTTTATAAAGAACACACTATGGAGACACAGATACAGCACCTCTAGCAATTTTCATTCCAGTGTTCACCTGAAAGTCAAACCCATCTGTGTTTGTTTACCATTTTTTCCCAGAGTTGTGGATATTAATCTGCTGCTAAAACTGCCTAGGTTCTTTGGCGAAAGGTTTTCCACAAGATTTTGGAAGCTGCCTGCAGGGATTTGCTCTGTGCAAAAAGCATTGGACAGGACTGTGGACACGAAGTTCCACTCAAAACTGGCAAACGCTTTTATTTATGAATCTGGCTTCATGCATGGGGAAACTGCCTTGCTGAAACAGGCCGGAAATTTCCCAAAACTGCTGGCACAGAGTTGGATCACTTTATTAACTAAATTATCATTGTTTACAGCAGCATTATGAATTTCCTTTACAGGAGCGAATGGGCCTCAATTTACAAAACAGAACCCCAGATGTGAAGTAGAGAAAAGTATGGCTGTCCAAGTACTTTTGGCCAAGAGCTGAGAAGCAAATCTCTGACCAACATTAGCCGAAGACAAAAAATCAAAGCAAAACTTGGAAAAATGGATTTCTTGTTTATTACTTCAAGAATATGAGGCAGGCTTTTTGAAGGGTCAGCATCGCTAATTGCGCATGAGAATGTTTCTATATTTCAGCTACCAGTAGTAAACTGGCCTTCTCTTCATCGTCTAGAACGTCACAGACAGTCTGTCAGAGGTCGGCAGCTCTGAGACGGCTGATAGCAGCCAAAGAAAATCGCTCACCATGCCTTTATCTGCCTGTTTTCTTCCAGGATTCTCCAGCCAGGCGGAGAGGAAAGCAGATAATCTTCATAGACACAGACTTGCCCACTGACTCTGAAGAATGGCAAAATACAACCCCAATCCCAACATGTTTGGAGATACTAATGCCTCAGTTTTTATAAACTCTCCTCCAATCAGTAGTTTAACAGAAATATTTATTTATCTTTCCAATTAAATCATAATTTATACAACAATTTCAAATATTCTTGACAGTCTTGCTTCAGATAATATACCATTTACCTGGACTTTTAGAAGTGAGTGACTTGTGTTACAATTACAACATACTGTTTAGCATATTATCTGCTTTTCTGTTAAGTAGATGGTTAAAAAGGACATTTTATTGACAATGAATATAAATTCGAGGAATCCATCTCAGCAACAAATAAACTCTGTGGCGACACTTCAGCTGTTCACCACTGATTTATATTGATACTTTATATTGATACAATAATAAATGTTTCCTTTGTTAATGTTGTATGTGGGGTTTAAGGTCAGCTGTACTGCTTTTGGGGGAAATAATCATACGTTTGTTGTTTATTGTGATGTTTCCCAAAATGTCTTGAAAAAACACTGCAATAAATCAAAAAGGTTCTAAAAATCCTGTCCAAACTCGGTTTATCACTTATGCCTCCATCTGTTATAGCAAAAGACAACAGGAGTGCAAGTGTCTTAATATTACTGATAGATGCCGACGCTACAGTATTGTTTGGTTTGTTTGTAATGTTAACCAACTGTGTAATAAGAAATGAGATTTCTAAAGACCTACAGCTGGATAAATGAAGAAAAGGGTAATTTTAGCCCATTGCTGAGTGGGTTTAGGCCAATATGTCATGTCCTAATATAGATTTTGAGAGTATAACTGTAATGTTACTGTTAAAATGTTGAGGCGCAACCATGTATCATACACAACTAAAGTTTTATGGATATAAATTTAATGTTACTGTGATGAAATAAAAAAATTATGACACTTTTATGAGGTGTTTTAAGTGCATAGACAAACCACCAGATCATTTTAACGTGTTTGCTAGTGACACATAAAGTGTGTCAGGAAGGGGGGATTTGGGGTTTAAGTTGAAATAAGGGGCTTTATGATCATGTTAGGACTTTCTGGGTGTTTGATAATTTAGCTATGATAAAACTTACTCATAAGTAATTGCTTTTATGCTTAAACTTAATTGATTGAAAATCCTTGTTTTGTTTTCTCTTTGATTTTTTTTAGTAGAATAAGTGAAAGGTGACAGAGTGTAGTAAAAGGTCAATGTAAAAACAAAATGCTTGCAGAGACAGATAACAGGACGTTAAGACAGTTTGCTTGGAAACTTTGCACTTGTTTGTGATCAGATAAGAGAAGAAGAGAGCTTCTTAAAAGGGTGTCAAAAGTGCTGTTTACCCAAGTGAATAACATTGAAGATTATATATGTATAAATGATTGTTTATAAACACATTGCAATCGTGCTCATAGGAGTTTCTACTCAGTCATGTGGAGGTCAAAAGCTTATAGGAATGGCTTATAGTACAGAGGGGTAAATGCAAAAACACGCTTACACACATAAATAATAATTAGGCTAATCCTTTTGATTAGAGAGTCCCGAACATGATAGGTTGAACCAAGTTTGAAGAATTAAGAGAACAATTGATCAACATAATAGGTTATGGAGGCGTAGCAGGGGATGAAGGAAGCGCGAGACCGAAGGGAACCAATCACAGAAAGGGGGACCCCAAAAGAAGCACAGAGCACAGAGAACCACAGTTCCAGAAAAAAAGAAATATTTTTTTTGACTTGCTGGTTTTTATTGGTTAACCATTAATAACCTCGTAATCCTGATGACCTTTGTTATCCTATTTTGAAATGTTTCTTTTGTATGTTCACTTTGTAACTGCTGATTTGCTTTGTTCATGTGCGTATGTCACCTTAGCACTTGACATTAGTCTTGTGACTTTGTCCTTTAGAAGAAAATATCATCTTCCTGGTGGAGTTGACAGCTTGGGTATATTCGCTAACAAAGACTGCCTAAGCACACCGACAGGACATGACAGTAGTTTTCAGGGTGACATATTTAAAATGGATTATATCCTGGCTGAGACTTCTGGTCTTTTCATGTGGGTGTCAGGAGATTGGCAGTAAACAGAGTGTGACACTGATTTTAAAAAGAAATAGTCTGCTCAACCTGAAACTCTGACAAAACCAAATTAAAACTTCCCATTTACTGTGATGGAAAATGTAGCCTGGAGTGTTGTTTTCACATTACTTGCAGTGCCTGAAGGGGGGGAATGAACTCTGGTATCTCCAGCTGTAATTATTTTTGAATTATGTGCATATGTAATAGGAATTTTTAGGGGGTTTAGGTAGAACTCAGGAGCACGACAATGCAGACTCACTTTAATCATGACCTAAACCTTCAAATCCTACAGTTTGAATGGGCCACATACCACTGCATTTCACCACATATCCATCCTGACATCACTGTGCCCTATTGAAGACAGATAAATACACACACACAGCAGCTGTAGCTAAGTTTAGCTTCCATCGGGTCACGGTGGAATATTCAGAAACAGTGGTGTAGATTTAACCACCATATGGGAGAATCTGACACTATGTGGGAAAGATTAAAAATACTTTGTAGCTTCAAAAAAAAAAAAAAGGAAAAAAAGGTGTGAGTCTGTTTTTTTTTCTCTTTGTGAGTAGCCCGTGTGCTGAATTTTAAACTGGTGTAACCCTTCCATAAAACAAACACACCAACGCGGACAAATACACACTCACCTCAGAGCGTGAGCCAGCATCTATTCAGAGACAGCAATCATAACTCAGAGCAAAACGTACCCTGCAAGATCTTGTAAAGTGTTCAATAACGTGCTGTTTGCATACTGATGTGCATTTGTTTGTGTATTAGACAAAGAGTGGCACCGCGGAGTATAGCTCAGCATTAATGAGATGACAGTAAACACATTAGTTAACTTGTAGCCTGATGCTTCATTATCTCTCTATTCTTTACGCTCACCATCGCCTCCTATCTCTGCATAAAAATAATATCATGACATCCATCTGTGTGATACTGACAGACTGCAGGTCATAAAAAGGTTAAATGCCTCCCAAAAGGGCACGGATAACTCTAATACCAAAAGCCATGAAGTACTTCTGACACTTGACAAATCTTTGACAGCCTGGCAAAACTTCCGCAGGTTTGATATCTACCTCGCGCCGCATCTGCCGAGTTGTGTCTGTGCTACTATTCCTGTCACCATGAGAGTGCAGATTGGTGGCATGCCCTGGAATCTTGGTCCCAGACTGTAGCAGCTGTATTTACCAATGAGTTCATCCACTGGGTTAGACACTAAAGCCCTGCCAGGCTCCCTCTCGGTCTCTTTGGGTGTGGGGTCAGGGTGTTTATCCATGCATCTCCATGCTCGCTGGTTGGTTGGTGTGTATGATTCATGGGTGATACTCCCTCTTGGAAACGGAGAAAAGGGCAGCAGACAAACTCAAAACCAACAGAGCCGGGGTATCAGGGCAAGAGACATGAGGGCTTTGGGATGGTTCATGTTAAAGTGCCAAAAAGGGGGCGGGCTGTAGCATTGTCTGTGTTTGCAGGGGGCCATTATTAACCTCCGCATCATGGTGTCACATGCTCGCTGCTGAAGGCAGAGAAGGACAAACACACAGATGGAGAAAGCTTGCCAAAGGAGACACACTCTTTCCTGCGCCTCTCATTTCCTGCTTCTTGCTCTCCGACTAATATCCAATTCTTTTTACACTTTTTTGGTGCCGGCTTGTCAGCAACCTCTTTTTTTGACTTCACTCTTCAGCTTTTCCTGTGCTTGCTGTGTTTAATGTTTCTTCACCGTTGCTTCCTGGCTCCTTCCTGACAAATCTTTTTCCTTTAACTTGCTTTCACTTTTTTCAAAAGTTTCCTTATCTTCCTTCCATCATTTCCACTCTCTTGTCTGCCGTCTTTTGGATGGATAGCTACTCTGTCCTCTACAGTTCTTCCCACAGAACCGGACTTCTCTCTGGCTTCCAGCGCCTTCGCTCACAGAGGAAGATGTGTGATGTTGTCTTACAGGCTGGCGGCATATCTTTTCCCTGTCATCGCGCCCTTCTAGCCAGCTCCAGTGACTATTTTTGGGCCCTGTTTGGAGAGACTACTGCAGAGAGATTAGCAGGCTCCATTAGCCTCCCTGCGCTAACACCAGAGGGCTTAGATGCCATTCTGGACTTCCTGTATTCAGGTTGGCTCAGCATCTCACCCTCCACACTTCCTGTTGTCCTGGAAACAGGCAGGTACTTGCAGGTGGAAACAGCTGTGGCGATATGCGAGCGTTACATGACTGATGGTTTAAATGCCAAGAACTGCTGTGACTATGCTAACCTGGCTGAGCGCCACGCCCTCTCAAATGCACTTGAGGCTGCCAATCAAACCATTGCCATGGAGATGGGAAGCTTGATACAAGAAAGCAGGGACGATCTCCTGACGTTGAATATCGAATCACTGTTGGCGGTTCTGGATGCTGATGAGATACCTAGTGTTAAGGAGGTGGAGCTCATAAAGCTGGTTCTGGATTGGCTGGATGATAACGGGCCCCTCCCACTCCTGAAATCAAATCTTTTGTTGAGTCGTTTGCGCTTTGGATTGGTCCCCCCGTCTGACCTCACAAATATCAGCCATGCCCACAGAGCCATGGCCACACCTTTAATAAGGAGCCAGCTGACACGAGCATCCGAGTACCACAGGCTCGGTTCAACTCAGCCCATCAGGCAGAGCCGGCAGACAACGCTTAGAGCATCACCCAATTGCGTGCTTCTTGTGGGTGGCGGGTCCAGCACTGATTGGCCAGAAAAGCAGGTGATGGCGTTCGATCCAAAGAGAAAGAGGTTTTCATCTTTGACTTGTGTTCTTCCGCTGAGACTGAGAAATCCCTGCGTGTGCTCAGTGGGAGGTTTCCTCTTTGTGATTGGAGGAGATGAAGTGAAAGAGGGAGATGAAGATGAGAAAAGGCTTGTTACTGTAGCAACATCCAATCAGGTGTGGCGGTACGATCCTCGCTTTAGTTGCTGGGAGCAGGTGGAGTCCATGCTGGACAGGAGGGCACAGTTCACTTGCTGCGTGGTAGAGGATGTTATTTATGCTTTGGGCGGACGACACACACGACCAGACACCAACACACATGCCTCTGTAGCTTCTGTGGAGTTTTATGATATAGCCACAGGAGCATGGAGGAAAGGGCCACCAATGCCTCAGACACTTTACGGCCATGCCTCTGCTGTGCTTGACAACAGCATCTATGTGTCAGGTGGTGTTCCGGGTAACTATAGTTACACTCAGGATGAAAGCAGGGAGAGCAGCAGAGAGGTCTTCTTCTGGGATCTTAAAGGCAGAGTCTGGGAAAAGAGGGCATCCATGTCCATCGCCAGGTTCAGTCATCGCTTGGCAACTGCTCATGGCTACATCTATGCACTGCTGGGGATGTACGAACCCTTCTGTGATATTGAACGATACCATCCACAGTCAGATCACTGGATGCGACTCAAGCCGCTTCTCACTGGCTCCTTCAACTACGGCATGGTATCCATGTCATCTGGGAATCTTCTGGTTTTCGGAGGGAGAAGGTGGAGTAACGGGCAGGAGGTGGTTGTGAAGAGTGTGCTGGAGTATGATACAAAGAAAGATTGCTGGAGAGAGATCTGCCAGCTTCCCAGACCTCTCACTGGGACTGAGTGTACGCTGCTGCCTCTGCCAGACTAAAGAGCACAAAAAGTGAGAAATGTATTTTACAAGTGCTGAGAGCCAGTTCCTAAAGTGAGAATTTCACTTTGAGTGGGTGTAATATGGTATCAAAATGCTGAGCAGATGCTTTAAAATCAACCACAATGTAGTACATTTTACCCCCATTTTCCCCAGGCTGTTCAAACTCTAGGTTTTGGGTACTAAAACACAGAAATAAGGATATTGCTCATAGTTGAGCAATAGTCTTTGGGCCCTGTGCGGGAAACTAGGTTGGGGGACATGAAATGTTTACTACCACGCAGCCCTTAACAACTTCCTCAGTTGTAATACTTTTATTTTTTAATATTATTTCTGGTCTTTCTGGTCTAGGGAAAAATATCAAACAACTAGTTTTCTCCTACTAACAGCTAGCCTAAGGCGTGTTGTCTACACTTATTTGCATTTGACACATGAAGGTGTACAGCAACAAAGCAGTTTGGTTAGCTTAGCATAAGGCACACAGCCAAACACAGTATATAATTTTTAACACTTTTATGTCTACATTGATTAAAGATGTAGCCTAAGGTTTCATTTAATTCATTTTAAGCTAGCTGTTTTTTCTGTTTCCAGTATTTATGTTAGGCTAGGCTAGGCTAACCTTCTTCAAGATAATCCAAATATTTCTGATCTAGAGTTATATAAAAATCCCAAACAAAGCTCATATCTTTTTCCTTAATAGAAACCCTAAAGGTTTTAAATATTTTGTGTAATAGGTGGATAAAGGCTTTTCTCTGGTTTCATTCTTTAAGAAACCTAGCAACTACTATTTTGTAAGAATTATTTGTAATGTCTGAACGGATACACTCACCAAAGACTTTTTTAGAAACACCTTTCTAATACTGGGTTTGGATTCCTTTTGCCTTCATAACGTTATTCTTCATGCATAGATTCAACAAGGTGTTGGAAACATTCCTCAGAGATTTTGGTCTATATTGACATGATAGCGTCATACAGTTGCTGCATATCTGTTGGGTTCAGGTCCATGATGCTATAATTGACTGATTAGGTATTGCAATAACATAACATTTGAACACTTGAAAAAGTCGCAAGTGAGCGTATAATCTTCATAAACCCCTATTTTTTATGACAAACAAAAGGCTAATGCTGGTTAGCCATAGCAATGCTAGCTGATGTCCCTATCCCAGCTTTTATGATAAATTATTGTTTACTGCTGCTTAGTTCAACACTTGTAGATTTTCCAGAAAGATATATGAGAAGACCAATAAATATCTGTGTGCGTGTGCGCCCGCGCCCACACGTGCATGCATTTGTGTTTGTGTTAAATATGAAGCTAGTGCCAGTAAAACTAAGCTTATATTAGTTTAACAGAAACTTTAACATAACCTTTAAAAACAAATCTGATATTTAGAGGGGGTTTTTTATTAACCAAAGTGACTGTTTTTTTATTTTATTTACAAATTTATTTTAATTTAATTTATTTATTTATTAGGTTCGGTTCTAATCCTGCTGTCACGTATTTATTTAACATTAAACATTGCACCATAGATTAGAAAACTGATCAGTTACATGTGTAAGCTATTTATGACCAGCAGTATCAAGGGACAGAGTTGGCGGGGAGCACACTGAGTAACCTCTAATGTTTAAGTGTATGAAGTGTAAAGTTTCAGAGCTCTAATATGTGTCTGTCAGTTTAGAAACAAACAGCAACACCGAGGGCAAACTGAGCAGTAACACCAATATATTACTGGCCACTTGTGGGGATCAAATCATATAATTAACTATTTCTGTAGCGTTAGACTCACTAATCTTATTTACAGCAGGAGCAATGTTGTGTTTTACTGTATATAATCTATGTTCTTTATAGATCCTTATCATATTGTCTCTGATTGGAATAGCTGGTCAATTTTGTGCAGTCAAATATCAAATGGCCCTTTTATGTGAGCTAACACTAAGAAACCTTGGCTCTGTTGAACTTGGCTATGTTAAACTTCTCAAACCAGAGCTCTTTTTGCCTTCTACAGTGGCTCTCTGAGTGAATGAATATGAATATGAATATGAAAATTGTGTTTAAAAGTTAAAAGCAGTTAATCTTAGTTAAGTTTTAATCTTCTGTTAACTAAAAAGTACATCGCACCCAACATCTATCACCTGGCTTATCATTTTACTTTAACTCAACCTCAATAGCAATGCCTAGCATGGGGATATATATATATATATATATATATATATAGTCCTGAGTTTCCCCACCACTTATTGGATTCCAAAGCCAAAAGCCAGAGTGGAAAACAGAGAATTTAAAATACAGAATTAAAAATTAAAATGTAACAATTTGTGGATAGATTTCTTTGCTTTATTCCCCAGTGCTGCTGGCTTACCAATAGCCTTGATCTGTAAACTTTAAGTTAATATTATTTTTACAATTTGTAAAATGATTTAGCTGTAAAATTTGATTAATTTGAATGAACACAGGTTGAATAATGAAACTCACATGTTCTCCAGGTGGCATGGTTTTACAGCATAAATAAAAAAAACTCTCTCAAAGAGGATGTTTAAGTTCAATTCAATCAATTTTTTTTATACAGCGCCAAATCACAACAACAGTCGCCTCAAGGTGCTTTATATTGTAAGGGAGACCCTACAATAATACATACGGAGAAACCCAACAATCATATGGCTCCCTATGAGCAAGCACTTTGGCGACAGTGGGAAGGAAAAACTCCCTTTTAACAGAAAGAAACCTCTGGCAGAACCAGACTCAGGGAGGGGCGGCCATCTGCCATGACTGGTTGGGGTGGGGTTTTACTTCCAAACTACTACAAAGTACAGCTAAGTTCATAATTCTTTTTAATGACCACTAGGGATCAACTTTTGTAGTTGTGAAAAAGTTTTCTGTCCTAAAGATTTCATACGAAGCCAGGCATTGACCTGGCTTCTTATACCTGTTTATGTACTCAGTCACCTACTGCATAACTCATTGGGTCCATTTTGTAACAATCAAAAAGAAGAATAAATCAGGGTATGCTCATTGGCTAATGACTTGTGAAATTGTTAGCGAACGAGCCAACATGGCTCGAGGCTTCAAAATGGGATTTCACTAAGCAGTGGAAAATGGGAAAGTGGCTACATCTATGTTTTATGCTGTTTATGTTCTTTGCTATGACCCAACCTCCTTGCTCTAGAGATATTCATAAAATTATTCTAACTAACTCAGTATGAAGAAAAGATTAGCATTTTCAACTAAACATCTCACATATAAACTATACAGGCTGAGCACTGTGGCATTTTCCTTGCAGCTCTTTTGAGCATATGCCAGATTGATTCAGATTACTTTTAGTTCACTGAAAGTTAATTACAGTATGTAAGTATGTAAAAGGGAAGGGTCACCAAATATTCCAAAGAGTGTCACTCCAATGTAATTGTGTGTTAAGAAAAACAAGGGCTAAGCTGTGTGATAAATGGGATTTTTGGGAATAAGCAGAGGAGGTAAACAGATTCAGTGTGAAGAAGGTAACACTCAAACAGATGAGTTTTCAGGATGAGGCCAAGCTGCGGGATGAAATAGAGAAGTAAAAAAGAAAAAAAAAAACCAGCCGATAAGGTGATGAAGGTGAGGGTGACAGTGCTGAAATAACAACAACAGCAAAACTAAGGAGAATATCTTGCAGAATTTGCAGATAGAAATTGTAAAGTGTGCAGCATTGCAGCTTACCTATGAATAATTGAAGTTTTCTATTTGATAGATATAGAAAGAGCAGCAAAACAAGGATGTTGTGTGAGACTCTTTTTTTGTTTTCTTGTTCCACTTCATCTGCACTGACAGTCAAATAGACAAAGAAGGATGAAGCTGCAGAGTAGAAAAGCATTAGAGAGAAGCATCTGCGTTTCTGGGTAATAGCTTGGTAACTGCTGGAGATCATTACTGATGCACTTTTGCGCTTGTATCTGTTTCCATTTAAGTCTGAATGCACACTGTGCTATCTACAAAAATATTACGGTACTTATTTAGAACACCATCTGAGTTAAATGAATTTCTGAAAAAAAGAATAAAAGTGGAAATATGAAATGTTAATTTCAAGCTACCATGCTCTAATGTGTGATTATGACAATATTACATCAGGAAAGTTCTCACTGTCACAGCTGAGACTCAGCTTTTTTTTTCCTTTAATGCTTTTTTGTCACCAAAAAAGGGTAAATTTAGTTGGACAGCCACTCCTGGTGGCTCCAGACCAGCAAGCTGCCAGAACATCAGCTTTTATTGAACTTTTTACAGTTGCTGACGATTAATTAATTAGATCTGATCAGCAGCACCTGGTTGTTATTTATCTTCTTAAGAGTAATCAAGTTAATGCAGCCTAACAGTGCACCACATACTGTGTAGCTAAGCTAAATATAAGCAATTTTAGCCACATTTATTTGGTAGGTACTTTAGATAAATCGATTAGATAAATTAGATACATAGATTAGATAAATCTATGTAGATAGCTACAGAGATTTAAATTCCTAAATGACATAAAGAAACCAAGTACCAATTTGTACTTTACTGAAGTATTTTTATTTTCCCAACATGTCAGAGGGAAATGTATTTTTTCCACTAGGTCCACAGCTTCTATTTGTAGTAGCTACCATTTAATTTATAGAAAGATTTTTTTTGTTGAGATTTAGACATAAGTCTCTTGCATCAGGAAGGCATTCAGCATAAACGTGTGCCAAATCAAAACATGTAGATCTATCCACTGTGGCAACCCATTGTGAATAAAGAGGATGGGCTGTGGGGACTCCAGCCTTCATATGACCTTGAATCGGATAAGAGTCTAAGAAAATAGATGTTGTGTGATTTTTTTCATCCAATAAAAAAAACCTTTGGAAAGAACAAAAAAGTTGATTCCAACAATTCTGAAATGTAAATCTTGTCCTGACATTGTAAAAAGCAATCTTTAGATCTCTGACAGTTTTTCACAGGAAAATGTCCAAAAAGCTCCTTCTTTCTTTTCCTGTCAGTCATTTCAGATTCTCAGATTTATTCGGATGAGGACCAGTAAACTTAGCTTCTTAAATTAAAATAAAACAAGCTAACATATGCTGTTTGCAAATTGATCAGTCACATATGCTGCTCAAAGAAGTTAAGGTACCACACGATTATCACAGTATAACACAAAGTGAGTCAGGTACTCTTCAGGGAACTCAATCTGTCCATTTAGGAAGCATACATTTTTGGAGCAAATGAAAGTGACAGAGAGGCAACAACAAGGCAACGCCAAAAAAGGGAAATGTTTTGCAGGTGGTGGCCACAGACCAGCTCTCTCCTTATCCTGCCTCACTGATTTTCCTCTAGTTTTGCTTTTTGCCAGCGTCCTAATCGCTGGAGCGGTAACTGCAGTCTTCAGGTTACACAGATAGTCCAGCTCGTCAAGCCATCACAAAAATATTTGCTTTATGTCCATGGACAGTGTCATATAACATTGTATTGCAGGTAGGATGTGGACCCAGACTACAGGACACTGGAGACAGTGCATGAACACAGCTTTAATGCTGAAGATTTTTCAAAAATGCACAAATACAAAAACAAGGCAGGGCTGGAACCAGGAACAAAAACAATAGGAGTCTAGGGGAAACCACAGAACAAGGGTGCACACAGCCTAGAGGCAGGGAACAAGGGAAGACTCAGACAATAAATATACACCAGGTAATGAGGGAAGAGGAAATAGGTGGGAGCACAACTTGAAGTAATCACAGAAGACAAGACAAGGGAAGCAGAACCAAATATACAGCACGAGAGACTGGAGACCATCAAAATAAAACAGGAAACACCTAACACTGAGGCAAAACTGACACAGATAAAAAAACACGGAGACACGACTAAACAAGGGAGGCAAGAATACACAGGAACTCAAGGAAAGAAATATGAACCAAACTGAAACAGAACTAGATATGAACCAAAACATGAGGGAACTGTGCACATGCTACTGTGCAAAACTGAAATGGCCGACCAAACCACAGAACACAAAACCCTGAGTCTAACAGTTTAGAGGATATCAGGAGATGGGGTGTTACATGAGGAGAGCTGGACAGGGCCATCGAGCCAGCAGCAGCATCAATATCTGCTCGAGTGTGTGAGGAAAAACAGGAGCACTGCCAGAGCCCTACAAAGTGACCTCCAACAGGCTGCTCGTGTGCATGTTTCTGACTAAACTATCAGATAACAAGTGAGGATTTGAGAATACTTCTGGCTACCAAAGGAAAGCCAGACAGCTTGATATCCCTGGAGTTTAACTAACTTATTATACTGTAATAATAAGCTGTTTTATTTATGTATGTATTTGTGCAGTGTAATATGTAGAATAAATTAAATTTGTCACAGGGGAAATTTATTGCAGAAAGTCCTTGTTACTTTTACATTCATTGGTACTTTTTTATTTGTGGTACTTTTACGTATATAGCATTTTAAAAAGCTGAATTTATGATATCAATACGGACTAATTTTCACAGAACAGACCACAAAAAACACTTTCAGCGAAATGACCAACATTTTATTGATCCATCCTCATCTTTCAAGAGAGCATATAGAATGATTACATAAATAAATACTGTTTTTTTTTTTAATTAACCATAATTTATAGATCGAACATTAAACAATCTTTACTCGACGACAGTCTGTCCAAAAAGAAAAAAAAAACTGAACTAGAATTAGAGACTATCTTCCAAGACACTTAGTTTGCGCTCTATAAATAGAGATCTACTGTATGTAAAGATTTCAAACACAAAAACAGGAAAAAGAATACTGTTTTCATCTATAACAAAGACATGCTACTACAACCAACCACGGGCAGCAGCAGAGAAAGAGCATTCAGTCTATGTGCTTATTATTGTGTGTAGTTGTGTGTGTGTTTATATGTATTTATGATTGCTTTCATAGTTTTGTGCATTGACTTTGAGTATTAAGTCTTTTGGCAACAGCATAGCCTACAAATAACAAACTAATATATTTTTATTAGATTCATATTTCAGTTCCTATGCAAATATGGCCTCATATTCTCTATGCGACATGCAGGATACAGAGAGCCAAATGGTCTCCAAGGAAAAATCCACCCTTAGAAACTTTTGCATTCTTTTAAGTACTATAAATCTGCGATATTCAGAAAATCTTTCTGTGCTAAAAATGTCTCTTTGCTTTTTTTTGTTTTGGTTTAAATATTTTTGGAGGCTTTTGGGGCGAAACAGAGTAACTTTCCAGAGTTCATACACCTGTATTACTAGGAGTGTGGATGCCATATAAGGCACTGAAAACCAAATGAAAATAACGTCCATGTCTGGAAGTAGCAGTTGCCTAAAAACTAGATAGAAATGCGCTTTTATTTAAAGTTACATTTGTGCAAATTCAAAAATCTACAATAAGATTTGGGTAGATCTATAAAATTTCATATATCAATGATATTTCGGCTTAGAGAATTGTAGTGTACTTTTTTGTAAATTTCATGTATATAATGCGTCATGTATTAAAAAATGTAAAAAAAAAAAAAAGTTTTGTGCTGAAAAAATATCAACAAAATTTGACACAAGGCTAGGCTATACTTGTGTAATACCACTTTGTACCACAAGATGATGCAGTGAGTCAATGTGACCTTCATTTAACGAGGCAAGTTATAAAGACTCTTATTTATGCTGCAGTCTCAGTAGGTAAATCAATAGCTGGACATTGTAACAACACCAAAATTATTAAGACTGTGTGACACAAACTTGTGAAATGAAGTTCATTGGCATTTTATTGTCTTTGAAATGGTTGCTTCAGGGATGGGGAACTAATCTGCAACCATTTGCATTAGGTTTCTGTACTCAAAGCAACCTTAGTGAGTAAAGACGGAAACAAAATAATAATAAGATGGAGTCAGTCCGTTGAATGGTGAGAAGTTGGCAAATATATTAGATCTGTGATAATATGGTCGAGGGTATTGCACGCTCAAGTTTCGTAACTACTTACAATCAGCCTCTGACAGAAAAAAAACCTTACCAGGCACCCACCAAATTTTCCTAGCTGCATAGAGGTTGTTAATCTATCTTTACTCTAGTGTGACTGAGCCAATACAAAGGTGGCCTACAAAAGGCAAAATATTTCCACATGTCCAATGGAAAAATGTCCCCTTGTGTTGATGAAAGTTTCACTTAAGGGTAATATCAAAGAGGTACATCTGAAGTAAAAGCTTTTATCTGGTATTATGTACAAATACACTGCATAAGAAAAACCAAAACTCTAGTGCTGGAGACAGCATGTTTCTATGGCTTTCATCCATCAGTTCACTGCATTGTTTCAATATTGATAGCTCTTAAAAATTTTGAGGCGATTTCTTCAATTTTGGCACCTGAACTCAAGGATAAACTGATTGGATTTTAGTGCTCAAGGGTTGAAACACACTTTTGTCAATAACCTGACAAAATTTCATATATCCAAAATGTTAAATTAATGTTAAGACAGACATGGAAGCAACTTGACTGGGTAATGGAGGGAGTAATCCTAATTTGACTTGCCCAAATTGTGGAAGATATGAAAAGTTGGATTTATTTACATGAAAAGAAAATCATAGCAAACAGAACCTGTGGGCTGAATCTGCCAATCATTGGTGAATTTCTTGCATCAGTTCTTCCCATAATCACTGATGTCAATGGTTCAAACTATGGGTCCAGTAATTTTGTGTTGACTGGTGCCATTTTTGGGTAGGAAACCAGTTCTAGATTGGGAGCTGGCAACTGCACATAGGTGGAACAGAACTGTACTTCTTTTACTATACTATATATAAACATTCATATCTGCAAAAGCTAAAAAGAATATTCATCAGTGAGAAGCTCTCTCAGATTTAGGAAGCTCCATCTATAGTTAGACCAAGTTTCTAATTTTCAGTGCAATAATAATTATAATGCAAGACAAAACCTTTTATCATCATTGCAAGAAATGTTAAGTAAAGCCATGTAACATTATATTTTCCTCTTTCTGTGGATGGCACCTAGTATTTGTTTACATGTCATTAAAATGCAGCTTTCAATATGTATACAAAGTAAACGAAACATTAGACATTTCTAGTAGCTGTTTTTGTTTTGCAATTAATAAAAGTATCATTAAAAGATCCTATTTTATTTACTATTGTGTAAAAATTTTAAAAGAAACTTGAAAACTCCCTTGATCATTGCAAGCTTTTATTCTCGAAGCAACAAGAATAACTGTTGTTCTCTATTTATGCCTGTATATGTCTGTACAACAGATTTAACTGCATGTAGTGTTCTATTTTTCCAAATGTAAAAACCACACTGCTTTAATGTGCATATGCGAAGTTATAAAGCAGTAAATGGCAGTTTCTGAAAGGCATACTGTGTTTTTGGAGTGTGAACTGAAGTTCAATAATAAAGCAACAGCAGATAATGGGCTCCTAACTACACCATGTGATGCCTGATGCATTGCTAGAAAAGCATTTGAGGGTGGATTTTTCCTTCAAATGGGTCCTATTCCAGGAGGAGTGTGCATGCTTCAGGTCCAGCCCAGCACAGTACACGAATCTACCAAACCAGCACAAACAAAAGTCTCTAAAACTAGATAGAAACTGAGACTAGTGTTTTGTTTTGTTTTTTAAAAAAAAGACCTTTGCTTATTGTTGTCTACTGTAGCACTCACTGTACAGTAAATATCATCATAGACATCAAGTATAAGGCTTGAAAGAATACAATGTATGTGGCTATTAGAGCGTCTATGAGACACTGTGCAGTCACAGTATGAAAATGGCACAATAAGCAAGATGGAGAAAGATACAACTCTGTAATCCCACTGGATGAGAAGTCTGTATGAAGATGATGAAGATCCTTCTTTATATGGTTTTCCATGGAGAGTATTTTAGGTACGCAGCACAAAAGCTAACATATAATACTCAAGAATCAGTGTCAGTGTCCACCCTCGAGCCATCTGGAGTGGCATGACCAATCAGCTCGAAGACTGATGTGACACGAGGGTCTTCGCAAAAACACGTCATGTTGCACTTGTCACACGGCGGCTGCTCAAAGCGCATCTCTACTCTCGCCTCTCGACTCAGTTCGTCACTAAGATTTCTCCGATCGCAGCTCTGATGCCTCAAAGCATCAACTGCAATTTGTTCAACTCAATCCAAAATCAGCTGATGAGAGCAATTTAAGCGTGTGTGTTGCTTTTGCTTTTCGCGTCAGACGTGCGTCTCAATGTAGGAGTGCGTGTGAGAGAGCGACGGGGTGAGGGGCGGGCCAGGATCTGAGTCGGCGGCCGAGTTCGGCTCCTGAGTGAACAGCTCCTGATAGGCTCTCTTCCACTCCTGGAACTCTGCCGACGACAGCTGGGGTTTGGCCAGCAGCCTGTCAATCAGCGCTAGTTCCCCCTCCCTGTCCTATGGGGGATGCAGAAACAGAGGAGGGGCGGGTCACTTTTCAAAATATCGCTCTTCTTTAAGACGCAGACACACGGAAAGCAAGACACACACTTAATGGGGATACACTAAGATTTGGGGAGATTTGACATGTGATCACCTTGCATAAAACACTTAAAAAACAACTGTTTTCATCCGTCATTGTTCTACTGAATATATTCACTACCTTCCATGTGTATTCACAATGAATGCATGGGCTACTTTTGAAGTAATTCAGTGTATATAATTTGGTAAATTTCAGTATCGCATTTTGAAACACCTTTAAATTACTACTTAGTTCATCATTCAGCACATTATCTACTATTAACTAATCCACTCGTAGGACATTTATTAAAACCTATTTAAATTAATATTTAATATTCTTGGGCAGTATGCAGTATATTAAGGCACTAAATACACTATTGTTAATATATAATGATGCAGTAATGCATTTTAATTCCACAATAGTAATAACTTTTGCATGATGATTACCACAAAAACTTTTATAGAAGAACGATGTAAGCATGTCAAAGTGTTGACGTTTCTCTGAGTTAGGACTAAAAGAAGCATCAAAATAAACACAGCTACCAATAGTAAAAGTACGAATTGTGAATAAAAAAATACTATACTGTTCAACTTCAGCTAGAATAGCCTAGTGTTTGATATTATCATTAGATACTGCTTGATAACTGATATGACTATATCATGAATTACTATGATTAAAATGATAATTTTTAAGATGATTATTACTATTATTAGCAGTAACAGTAGTAGTAAGAGTCAAAATATAATACTTGGCTAAATGTAGTTTCCAAGTGTTGTAACAGACCCACTTTTGCTACTATTTTAAGAAGTAAAAAGGTCTTATTGAAAAAAAAAAAAAGATTGTAAGCATTTATAAAAATGTATTATTTATTTTATTTATATTAAAAACCTATTAAATTCATATTTAAAACTGGGTTTGTTTTTTGAAAAGTCACCTTTTTCCTATCATAATACATCAGAAAACTAAAAATGTTTCTGTTTGACAAGTTACATTCTTCAGATGCTAATAAATGAAATAATGTTTTTTAACTTTTTTTTAAAGCAATGATCTAATTGTGCGATTCTAATTGTAGATGTCTAATATTTGTATTAGCCCCTTTAAAAACGAGTTCCTCTTTGTTTGATAAAAGTTAAACACATTCACTGGATCTTTCTTTCTTTATAACTTATCTAAGCCTCTTTGTTCAAGTGACAGTTAATGAATTTGAAATGCATCAGCAGTTACAAACATTTTTGTGACAGCACTGTCAACTTTCTTTTCTAAATTACATGGGAAATCATTGTTAATAAATTGTGTATAATTGAAAGGCAACGATGATATGTTGCTATATGACAGCGGTATCGTGATGGTGAAATATACATTGCTTCAGTTAATGTTCAGTCAGTAGTAGATTATTTCTAATTTAGCACTTCATGATCTTCGACTTTGTGCTGAAGCTGTTATTAAACACAACACACGAATCTCTTCTCTTGTTATTCCTTCTGCCATCACATTCTCATTCAAATGTATCATGTTGTTTTGGTCCAATTTTAATGTGCAGAAACACACAAAGAAAATATGAAATCCTTTGTTGTTTCCACAGCAACCACTGCAGATATGTTGATGCTGCCTGAACGCACAAATCCAACCTGATCCCTTGTAAATAGCAATTAAAATGTAGCCTCTACTAGGGTCACTGTGGTGTCTTCTGAAGATTATTTGTGAAACTTTTCATCCATGCTCCCCCCAAAGCTTGGTATATACCTTTAAAAGACGCGAGACAAGCAAACAAACACATAAGCTTCCCCACCCAACCAGACAAAAAAAACCTGATGTACCTGCAAGCAATAAAGCCTCCATGCCCTCACTTGCCATCCCGCCCCCATACACGGAGGAAGCAACAAAGAAACAAACTCTAGAGACATAAAAAAAACAGCAAAAGAGCCACCCAGCCTGGGAGCATCACTGCTGCTCAGACAGCATGAAGCAACAGACGGCTGCTTGACATCTGAGGACTCTGAGGAGACACACTGTGACAGATAACGCCACTAAAACTAACAAGACAGACATCTTCCAGCACATGAGCGGTGTTTATGTGTGCATCACAGTCAGAAATTATCATAAATATACAATTATGAAATAAATCCTCATGGAGAGAGCCATTCTTCTGTCTTATCATAGCTTTAACAAATGTTTTATTTTTGAACAGATGAGAAAAAGTGTTTCTATTTTACAAGCAGCACGTTTTGCCTTGAGGTCAATAGCCTTTGCACAATTTCTGAAGTAAACCATTATTTCAAGAAATCTTACAGTTCAAAAGGTTTGTGAAGAAGGAATGGGGAGGAGGCAGTTTCTGATAAGATTTTAGAGGAGTATGACCTGTAAGATTAATAATATGAGGTGAAATACAGTGTTGCATTTCACAAAAATTGAATTCTATGGAAGGAAAATAAAGTTCAACAAAACTGACCTTTTGCTAAGCTCCAGACTCAAAAGTGTCTGTTCCTATATGCCTTTATTGTTTGTGTGAGTACCTACTGGCAGCAACTTCTCTTACTGAGGTCCATTTCGTTGTTTTTAGTAAGCAAACGTCTGTTCCCGAGAGCAATTCTGTTAACCATCGTGTTGTGTCCTAGTCAAACGTTTTACAGATTTCACAGAAGAGCTGAAAATAAAGCCAATGCAGAAATGCCTCAAAGCTGCAGCTTCTCAAAAGGCCCTTTGAGGCCGCCTCCAATACTGATTCAATCTCCATAGATTCTCAAAATATCCAAATTTACAGCACAAATAAAGATGTTTGGAAAAATGGATTTTGTGTTTTTAGCATGCAAACTGTATCCTTCTTTAAACTCGGTTAAAGGTTAAACTTATGGATCATTAAGGGTGTGGCCGCTTTGAGTTTAAGGTTATGAGTCTCTACTGAAAGACACTGTAAGGAGTCGTCTGTACACCTGTTTTGGCAGATATAGTTTGGTTTGAGGCTGTTCACCAAAATTAACATCTCATTGGCTAACAGTTGCATACCGAGCCAGCAAACACAGATGACAGGATTTCTATACAATTTTGCTTTTAACTTCTGTCGTAAAATACTTTTTTTTTTATTGCATTACTTTTCTCCAGCAAATATTTTATCTAGAGAAGGGGTCTCGAACTCCAGTCCTCGAGGGCTGGTATCCTGAAACCTTTCCATGTTTCTCTTTTCCAACACACCTGAATAAAATTAGTAGGTCACTAGCAAGAGTATAGAACTTGACTGCATGTTGAAGTGGCAAACACTAATCCTACTCAAGTAAATTTAAGTCAATGTTAAGTGTTTGGAAAAATTTACTCCTAAAAGTACTTTTATTGCACCATGTTCATTCACTCACGAGCTGCTGTAACATGAATCAAATGGCTGAATTGCCACCTAAGTTCTATCCAGTTGTTAAGTGATGACGTGGCGAATCCTACTTCCGGGCCTAAAGTAGTCTGCGTTTAATATGGCTTTTGTGTTGTTAACATGTTTAATGTTATGTATTTTCTTCTATTTAATCTCAAAAAGCTCCTAAAACAGTCAGTGATCACTGTTGACCTCCCTCAGCTTTTATTACCGCTAATCATTTATTTAAACTCAGTTTTTAAAACCTCAGGATGTAACTACAGCCCAGCCCAGCCCATGCAGCAGTATATGAATGACTAACCTCGTATTGTGGATGGATTAACTCAGTTGTTCTCCTGGCTGAAGTTTGGTCCTTTTACACCATCCTGCCATGCGATTACATTTGTTCCTGACCACCGAGAACACTCACGGTAACTTTTATCGAGTGGAAAAAAAGTTAGCTTGTTTATATGCTATGCTAACATAGCTGTGTCGCTAGCGGTCACGTAGCACATCATTATATACCAGCTAGCCAAACTTCAGTAAGCCTACAAACGTCACTGCTGTTTAGTTCTCTGTCTACATTTATGTTGGAAGTGATAACAGAGCTGTACGTTTTAATTTGTTTCCAAAACCCCCAGTCAGGACATGCTATATTGTATTTAGATAGAAGCTAGCGAGCTAACTTCCTGCTAACTTCTAACTCTGTTAAATGTCATAAATTCCGTTTTCATGGATGCCTGGATGTTAAACTCAATCGTTACACCTGGTAGAGCAGAACGCTGATCATTTTATTATAGATGAAAGACTTTAGACAGTTTTTCAACTCTCAGTAATGCCATAGTGATCGTTTGATATATGGACCTGTAGCGGAGTTTAGGCCCAGACACGGCTAGTGACGTCAGACTGAACAACCGGATAGAGTCTTGCTAATGTCCTACTAATTGTGTTCAGGTGTGTTGCAACTGGGACACATGGAAAGGACACCGGACCTCGAGGACTGGAGTTCGAGACCAGTATCCCACACACATACTGTCAGTATCAGCAGTACACTGCAATAGCAATTAATTTTGTACAAGTGAAAATAAATGCACCACAAACATCAAAAACAACTTTAACTGAAATGTTAGTTTTTTTTATTTCTTCAAATGTGGTAAACGTCTTGCTTATAAAATGTTTGTACGCTGGTTTGTTTTTTATAGTATTTCAAATGGCCAGAAATGCATCACACAAACCCGGTGTCTACATCTGTACAAACATCGACAAGAGTTTGGGTGAGAGGTTAGGGAAAGGTCAGTCGTCTCGTCAGAAATTAAAATCCTCCTGTGCCTCCGTAAGTGTGCATGTGTTTGGCGTGCCCCCGTGCTCGTCTTGCGCATGTGTCTATATGAATGAGAGTGAGGACCAACCTTCAACGTGGAGGTCAGTATGCGGAGGCGGTGCAGGCGCTCGTTGAGATGAGGGTCAGCGGCCCTTCGGAGAAATGACTGCCTGAACTCTGACTGACCTTTGGACTCCGACCCCCGACCCAGAGGACAGACCCCACCCTGCTCGCACGCACGAAACAGGTCGCCCAGCGAGGCACCTTCACTGCCACCTTCAGAGCAGTCAGAGGGGAAACAGAGACCCGCACATTTAATGTTGAGTTGAACTCTTTGCTTCACATCTGTTACAGGATTAGAAGCTAAAAGGCCGGGGAGCGCCTTAAGTTATATCTCAGATCAACCACTGGAGGACAGCAGCACACCTCGACACATCTACGACATTGTGTAATGATTTGTATTAGTCACAGCAGGATTATTAACGAGGAGAAAATCCTGTCAGCCTCAGGGACACCCTCATCACTTTGGCAGTTTTATTTCCTTGCTCACATTATAATTGATTGTTCAATCCATTCCCTAACAAATGCAACATATATCATGCTATTACATAAATCAGTCTTATTTACTCTTGCAGTCCTTTCTTTTCATATGCTGCTTGCCTCACCTTGGCAACAGGAGCACCGTGGTGTCATTAGCCTCATTAGATCAATGTATGACTGCAGTGTGCTCTGCTTCAAGCTGATGATGATTTAAATGGATATGTCTGTGCCTGAGAGCAGTTTTTATATATGGCACATGTGCTGACATCTTCACCTTAAAAAGAAATTTCCTTTTTCCCCCTCCCCCTCAGTCTCTAGTGGCTGTCATTCACAGCGAGACACATTTTTGCGCTCTGCTGTTACCCAAAAAATGCATCACTGAGAGCAGCACCAGCTTCTTCTACTGAGTTAATCCCCAACATAAAATATTTTGTCCTTCAGTGAAATCGAGAAGGTCAAACATGCAATTATTTTTTTCCAGATTTGATCATTCCAGCTCGTTGTGTCAGTGGCTAGAACTAGCTCAGAATTAGCTGTCATTGTATGAAACACCCGAGCCCCCGTTATTATGGAGCAATATTAAGTACTTGGAAGTATTTTCCCTCATTGAGCTCTTGCAGTGAAAATAGTGTGAAGCACATAGCAATTCAACAAATGTCATGAAAACCAGACTGTATATAAAAGCTAGACATAGTCATCGTGGCATCACCCATTGGTTTTGGACTACAGAAAACCTCAATCTTGGTGTTTTTGCTCCCACAAGTTACTGAATTTGAAAGCCCTAAGTTATAAGCTAAGGGTAGTGAGCATGTGTAGCAATCTGCATCCAAAAACCACACAGGTACAAAGCATAGACACGGATACTGGTGCTTAGAAACCGATAATTGGTGCTTAGTAACAGACTGATAAAATACTAGAATTTCACTTAGAATGAACTGTAACTCGCAGCAGGCCATATCATTTTTGGCATTTAATTCAATTAAATGGCTCTAAAAGGTTAAAACACAGCTTTGGGCCAGCCTCAAGTGGTCAAGAGAGGAACTGCAGTTCTGCAGTGGGGAATTTTGCATTGGCTTTAGTTTTCATCCACAGACGTGGCTGCTTGCAGTCTCATAGCAACATAATGAAATTCTGTTGTTAAAAGAAGTTTTCAAAGTTTGAATTGTGAGGCTTTTTTCTTGCTTTCAGACAAAGCAGCAACCTCACTAATGGCCCTTAAAGAAGACCATGTAGCTTGGGAACGGCTGGTTTAAACCATTTGTGCAATCCTTTAGGAGAGCTCATTATTCTCCCCTATATAACATTTCATATGTTTCTCTGTTATTTGAATTTATTTTTTTCTAATGCAACACTGCTTGTTTGGTAGCTAGTTTTAACTGTTAAATTGCATCAATGTTCAGATGTTGTGGCTGGTTCATAGTCTGATTTAAAGTATTTTCGCTTTATTTTTATTGCCTAAAATCTCTGTGTACTGTATAATGAATGCTGCTTTTGTCTTTACTGTAGTGTTGATTTGGTGTTAAAACATAGTGAATAAAAATAATGCTTCCGGATTAGCTTTAAGCTCTCTGTGCCCTTGTAAGCATTTCACACCAAAAGCCTGATCCAGCATGAACTCACCGTTGTGTGTTTGCTGTTCTTCTTTTGCAGGCGGTGCGAGGAGCGTGTGGAGGTTGCTGTCTCGTGGCAGTGTGAAGCTGCGGGGTTTCCCTCCCTGGGTTGCCATAGGAATCAGCCTCTGCATTGCCATGGGCAACGGGACATTCCTCGGAGCAGGAAGAGTGTAAACGGCTCCGGCCATCATTGAGCCACCACCTGGCTCAGCAAAGACGGCGTCCTCTGCAATGAAAAGAAAAGAAAATTGATTTGCTGTTATTTGAGTCATGAATGCAACATGACTCATTTCTTTAAAAGAACACTCTGTTCAATACAGTAACATTTATTTTAAATATATTCTGACTGAATCAGAGACACATTGCTATTCCAGCTTTAAAGCCACTGTCCACATTGGAGCATCAGAAAGAACACTTAACACATACATTACTATTAAACACAAGATCATATATAAAACACACAAGCTTCAAGCTGCATCAGCAGCTGCACAAAATATTTGACAAATATCATTGCAGGCAGGGGTCAAAGTTGATTTTAATGAGGGGGAGCTGAAGCTGATGATCACAGATGATAGCAGACAGTTTTCATGGGGGCGCTTTCTTGAGCAGAGAGTAGTTCCTGTCAAAACACTAGAAATTCTGCTCTGTGTATGGACCTTTCAAAATTTTAATGGCACACTTTCTGGAAAAGCTTTCTTGTTCTTGGTATTAATAAAATAACAATCTAAGATATAGCAAATTTTAAAAAAAACAACACTTTTTTTGCAGTTCTGTTACTTTTAGTGAAGCAACCATTTTGTTAAATTTGATGGGGTAAAAGTACAAAGGTATAATATACAGTATATATAAGTATATATAATAAGTCTATATTTCTATATAAGACACTGCTATACAAGACCATATTGTACAGAATTAATTATTAATTAATTAATTCACTCATTTATTTTATAGCTCAGGGAAAAAAAATGGCATTCCTGGTACAGGTAGATACAGTATTGAAGATGGACATAACTAATATGATGTCATCATGTTATCATGATGTCATCCACTGGTTTCTACAGGCTTGTTTTGAAGCCTCAAGATGAGCATTTCCACTGTTGTCATCTTGTTTTTAAAACAAATGTGATAGGAAGGGGCGTGCCTTACTGTGAAATTGATTGCTCATTGACTCTATCCACAACTATCGCCATCTTTTGGCCTTGAGATAAAATGCAGGCTTAAGGCACTTTCACACTGGTTTAATTTTTCCAAGCAAATGCTACGTCTATGTTTCATAATGTCAGTGCATGGAATAAGAGTTTGCATGACAGAAAACACTACCAAGTGGTCCAGTTTGAAGGTAGTGCAGTCCAGCCTCGGTCAATGGCGTCTCAATCAGGTCCTGCCAAGAGCGCCTCTGCGATGATGAAGAGCGGCCCGGGGACCCTGTCTCACTACTGCCCCCAGCAGGACTGGAGCGGTACTACAGAAAACAACAGATAAACAAATTATTCAGTAGACTTACCAGATGCAATCAAAGCATGTGGTCCCATATGAAGGCAGCTCCTATATTACAAATTGTAGTTTATTGTTGGTAAAATGTATTTCTCTAAACATAATATGCTAATTAGGAAACAGTCTGTTGCACTATATTCATCATCTTCTAGAGTCTGAACTTAGGAACAAAATCTATTTGATATAATTTATACGGTAATTGAAATCAAGAGTCCCACACTATAGTTAGTAATAGTATACCACCATCAGTTGGCTGAACCATTGATATACATGCAAAGCTGGGTGGATCCACGCTTTACTTGTTCTTTTAACATCAGAATGTCACAGCAGAACTATGTAATGGTTGTGTGGAAAAATCTCAGTGGATCAGTACTTTCTGAAATATTGAGACCAGCCTGTCAATAACTATCCCACATTCAAAGTCACTTCTTACCCATTCTGATGCTCTTTTTAAACTTCAGAAGGCCTTCTTTCCCATGTCCGCATGCTTAAACGAACTGAGTTAATGTCATGTGATTAGCTAACTATGCATCAGCGTTAAATAGCAGTTGAATAGATGAATGTAGTAAAGTGGCTGGTGAGTGTAAATTCAGACTAAAAAGCATATTCATGCTCCGAAGTCGAAAGAACAATTTCCGAACTGTTGAAATGAGACCATTAAACTCAGGTAATATTAAACATCATCACACACCTCTACAGGATCACATCTGTACTGTACGTCGCTGCTGTTGCTGCCCCCTGCTTTTCTGCCACTGTGTGTGGTGCCTCCCCCAAGAGGACCAGGGTGGTACTGCGGCTCTGCAGCTGCAGCAGGGGGCTCGCCACAAAGGAAGTCCTCTTGGGATGAGCGAGAGCGAGACGTCTCTGTGGAAGACAGCCGAGTGGTCCGACCTCCTTCCAAGTAGGCGCTCATCTGATAGAGAAAAAGGAAGGGAGACAATGTGGCAGACATCAAATGATCGCCTTGTTTCATTCAACCATATGACACACTTCAAAGAAAGGATTTCATCAGCATGCCTGCCTGATTGAGTAAGTGTGTGATATGGTAGGTGAGAGACAAGAAGACAAAGCAGAGGGGTGTTTGAGTGACTCTATTATTATCTTAAAACTTAGCAGCCTGTGTTTTGTAACTTCAATTACATGGACAAGGTGCTGTTGGTGTTTCCTTTCTTTTACCCTATGATTAAAAAAAACATAGCCCAGGACAGAGATGCATGATGTACAGCAACCCATTTCAACTTCAAATATAGCAACATTTATGTTTAATATAGCCTCAGCACTATCTGTACTTATTGCTTTATTGGCAATAATTCCAACTGTTACAGTGGACTAGGAAGCACAAGGCCTCAATTTAGCCTCCGAGTACAATATCTACCTTGTGAGAGATGCAATACAGTTTACAGTGTGTGTGTGTGTGTGTGTGTGTGTGTGTGTGTGTGTGTGTGTGTGTGTGTGTGTGTGTGTGTGTGTGTGTGTGTGTTTGAGAGAGAGTGACTCACTGATGGAGGCCGTGGGTAGGTGTCATATGGAGGTGGGGGACTGTCCTGTTTGGGGCTGGAGGCAGCGTCATCCTCATGTTCACTTTCACTCCAGTAATCTACAGGAAACCCACCCACATACTGTCAGATCCATCCGTACACATACATCTAGTGTATTTGTAGTATCATGCACATTTTACATATTAGCTTAGAGTGTTGTTTCTTAATGGGAACCAATTACACTTTTCCTTATTTTCTGTCATTTATTAAACTGATGGATGCTCATATTAAACATGATTGAAGTGATGAATAATCAGTAGTCAGTGTACACCGTAAAAAAAAGAAAATCCTAAAAAAACAGTAATATTCCAGCAGCTGGGGGCAAAAATAATACCAGAAAATAACAGAAAATAACTTTCTCATGAAAATAAGGTTATTTTCAGTAATGACAATACAGTTTGTTGCCCTAATTTTACATGGGATTTTGCCTTTTTCAAGTGCTTTTAAACATTAAATTAGGAACACTTTAATGTGATTAAACAATGAAATTACCTATAAACAAGGTCAATGAATGCGGCAATATGAATAATAATACTTAAATGTACAGAAATATACAGTTAACAGTTGGTTTAAATAATAATGGATTGCATTTATTTTGAGACCCTCAAAGCGCGTTACAATTCCACTTTATAATCCCCCCTCTGGCCATCACCAGTAGGTGGTAGGTGAAGTGTCTTGCCCAAGGACACAACGACCGAGAGTGTCCGAGCCGGGGCTCGAACCAGCAACCTTCTGATTACAAGGTGAACTGCCAACTATTGAGCCACAATCGCCCTAAATGACAATAATAATTATTATTATTGATGTAAAAAAAGTTTATAAGAATCATTTTATATATTTTTCCATAGCATTACATTTGAATTTAACAGTTCAATCTTTTAAATAATGGACAAATATTTGTGAAATTATGGTCCATTTGTGAAAGTATTTTAACAATCTAAATATGCATATGTACAGACAAATATATTTAAAAAAACAAAATTATGTTTTATTACATTTACAGTGATTTTACGTTAATTTACATTTGGAATGTAAAATCACAGCCTATTTACGTAAATTTAATGGTATTCTAGAAGAACAGTACAAAACTGTAAAATACACAGTAAAATACTTTTATATTACTTTTTTTTTTTTTTTTACAATGTATGTAGATATTAGAAAAAGTTCAGCCCTGTTTTGAGATTTTGTTGTTGGTTTTTGTCCTTCTCTTGGCTCTATATGATGACACTATAGTTATTTCTAACATGGCCACATCAGGTACATTGCTCTGGCTCTGAGCAAATTAGCGCAATCAACATGCTGTTCAAACCTTCTGTTTGCTAGTGGAAGCCTCTTAGTGATTCTGTTGGGTTTTTACTTTGCAAAGTAATGTGGTTAAGATGACTATTGATGGGAACTGGTGCTATATGAATCAAATTCTTTTGAATCAAATCAAAAGGGAGGGCAGCCTCATGGTAGAAGAGCTAGGATAATCTGAAGAGCTGCATAAAATAAAGTAAATGGATAAATATAGTATTTATTATTTATTATTTATTTGTACTAAGTATTCCACCATTTTCTTTCCATTTATCCACCTGGCTATTGATTTACCTTCCATTCAGCCATCGGAATACCATGAGAGATAGAAAACATGCCCCAAGTACATCTATCAGGTTAACATCTTATCAGGCATTTTGTGCCACAGTTCCCAGATGGAGTTGGAGGTTGAATTCTTGTTTGTCCCACATAGCAAAATTGGTATGGCTCGGATCTGGCCAACACAATGTGCTTACACATAACCCACATACCGCAAAGAATGACGGTGGCCCAGATCTGGTTTGCCAGAGGTGGCCCACACATAGGCCAGCACAAGGCCAGCTGCAGACACACTGGTGGTCCTGTGCTGGCCCAGAACAGTTTCAGCTCTGGCAACAGATGTCAGCCTAATGTGTACGTTAATCAAACCACAACATGTGCCGGAACATAATAGTGCAAAAATAACATGACAAAATTCCATTCAGACAGTGAATGGACTGATTCTTACGTAGCACTTTTCTACTCTCCTGGATTACTCAAAGTGCTTTATACAACATGCCACATTCACCCAATCTCTCTAAACTGAGTGCTTCCTAACTACATTCATACATATTCACAGGCTTGACATACAGACTGGAGGAGCCAGGAATCAAACTACTAACCCTCTGATCAGAAGGTGACCTGCTCTACCCCTGGAGCTACAACCACCCGGCAGTAAACATGACTAAACCCTCATTAGGTTTTGGATAAAGTGTACTCTCACAAACCTGTCAAACCTGCATTTGAAACATTGGCTACCATAGCGGTATAGTATTGCAACATGGCATTTGGGTCCTCTAACTAAAATAGGAAAATGGGAACATAAATAGTGCCATCATTGCCAGACCTGGCCCACATCTGGTTGACATACACCCTGCCATGACACCAGTCAGTCAGAAGTGCCAGCTTGACACCAGATCCGGGACAGACCTGTCTGCTATGTGGGGTGATTTTAGTTTTGTTTCCTGTTCTGGGTTTATTTTATGTTTTTACTCACTTTTCATTTTCAAATATTGCCTAGTATTTTCAGTCATTCACTTTTGGTTACATGTTGCTACTGTTTGACTTTATAGACTAATGTTTCCCTCTATCTTGACCTTGTATGCTTTCTCTTGTGTCAAGTTTACTCTTGTTTCATGTGCTTTAGTTATGGTTGCAGTTCACTTCTAGTTTTACTTGTCTACTTGTCTCTTGTGTCACACTTTTAATTTGACTGTTATTGTCTAGATTAGTTTCAGCTCTATATATTCCCTATTCCCATTCCTATTCCCTGATTACCTTTTGTGTGTATAAATAGCCCTGTCTCTCCTTTGTTCTTTTGTTCTGTTTACTGTTCCTGATCTCCTGGGACTAAGTTTTAAATCTGGATTACAACTATTAAAATTTTGGCTTTTTATTGAAACTCTGAATGAGGATCTTGCATTTTGGTCCTCACTCCACAAGTAGAATGGATGTTTTGCTTTGAGTATTTAATACACAAAAAACCTTTGATATAGCAACAATAATTCATTTGCTACGAGTCAGCAACCAACTGACATGTAAATCTTGAAAAAAAAAAAAAAAAAACAGAGAGAGGGGGGGGGAAAAAAGAAGAAAAAACTGTGATGTTTATTCATAGCTAAGTTTTTTAAACAGACACGAGGGCCAAAAAGCTCATTGGTTATTCTACCCATGAACAGTTTTCTTTTTTTTAAAAAAATATTAGAACTGAACACACAAAAAAATCTTTAATCTAAGCTTTTCAAAAGTCTCAGAGTATTCTGCAGCCTCTGGCTAACCATGTTCCAGACATTTCTTTTTTTTAGAATTTTTTTAATGCTTCAGATTTTATGTGGAACATAGTAAAGGATCAAAAACTGTTCAGACTAAACAGTTAAAACCAAATTATTAACAACTAATATGTCTTAAAATATTTGGTAATAAAAACAAACATCCTTTTTAATCATTAAAAAAAACCACTTTTTTCTTTTCGTATAAATGGTATGAATGATGGCATTTTATTCCCCTGGCTTTTGTGGCTTTGTTTTCAACATTTTTAGACCCAACTAGCTTCACCTCATTACCATCCAAAACCTTGGGGGTATTGAGTTGATTATCTTTGCTTATGTCCAAAGTTATAGTTCAAATACTTTTACCCAGATTATAATGTCATTTACCTGGTTTGCTCACTATTAACATTTAGCTAAATTCAAACTAACCTTGTAAATTATTCTTTTCTTCCCAGGACCTTAAAAAAACCTGGAAAACATGTACATTACTTCACATTTCGTCAGTGGAGTGAAGAATGTGGACTACTTTTAAGTGAATGGTTCCTCTGCGCTTGTTAGTTTTTGAGAACTGAAGGAGAATATATTTCCAGAAATAGCTAATTGCATCACATTACCAAGCGGATGAAAAATAACTGTTTGGTTTCTGAGTGCCTGGGGGTGTAATGAAACAGTCATGTGTGGTACGGGGTCATTAGTTGCCCATTAACAAATTTTTCTCCCAGTAAGCCCCTAGGAGATTTATCTGGCTATTCTGGGAATATAACAATAAGTTCAATAGGTATAGAAGTATTATTGTGTTGTTGGCTTAAGATGACATCCTACAGCAGCCATCGTTTGAAGAACCCTTCACCATGTCGCTGAATGAGCCCCTCACCCTGCTCCTGGCGTATCCTCTCTCGCTCTGCATAGCCTACAGCGGCCATGTTGAGGCGACTCAGCCACCTAACAGAAGGGGGAACTAATTAGATTATCTCATAATGTACGCAAACAAATAATTAAACATTAAAATAACAATTTCGCTTGGGGTCCCAAAGTCTCACAGTGTACATAAATAATCACTTGGGAAAAAATGATTACTTCTTTTTATTTTAATTTTTTGTTTTTTTAAAAGTTTGAAACGATATTGAGCTGCTCTGATCTACAGCATGATAACTACATCATATAAGTAAATAGGTATATCAAACATGGTTTAAATGTTATGTAAGACATGGATGAACAAATATATACATATTTTGTTTAAAAAAAGTCAGTAACAGACAAAAACAGGTACATAGGTATAATATATTATCCTTAGTATGTTGTGACTCATAAAAAAATTGGCCACCTATAAAAAAATGGCCTCTGTGAAAATGTCTTAAAATTTTTGATACTAAAAACAAATTCCCTTTTTAAACATTAAATAAAACACTTTTTTCCCCCTTTTTACTTGAAGGGTCTTTTGTGGTGTTTAGCCACCCAGCTGGAAGTCTGCCCTACTCTATAACCTTCACCCTGCACACACTCCTTTACCTGTTCATGTCATCCACTCCATCTGCTGCAAAGTAGAAACTCTTGACCTTGGGGTGGCAAGCTTTGAAAGCACTAGAGGGATAGAGGGTGTTATTTTTGCAGGCACACATTCATACATTCAAGAGCATGTGATCTGCACGTAACATACACATATATATGCAAGAGACCTGCGTTTGTTAAGCACTTACTACTTCTTGCGGCATTCACTGGCTCGATCGATCTTAAATTCTGGAAGACTGACAAAACCTTCGGCTTTTTCATCCTGAACAAAGAGCGAGGAGAAAGAAATGTTTAAAAAAAAAGACAGACAGCAAGCCAAAAAAAAAGAAAAAAAAAGAAAAAGAGGATGGCTAAAAAAACTGTTGATTTCATGTGTTCACTCTCTGTTTTTCCAAATGCACATTATTTTTTCTAAGTCTGACTGAACAGGAAGAGGTTGATGAATGTCAGATTAAATAAAGATAAGACTTTAAAACCTAACAGCTCTCTGGTCAGCCACTGACGGGGTTTGCACTGACAGTGTTAAGAAGCGAATTCTTGCCAGCTTTTTTTTTTCTGGTTTATTTAGCCATAAACCAGAGAACTAGAAGGGGGAAAAAGTGATGGTGGGATAAAAAAGAATGTTAAAAATAAATAAAGACGTTACGCTAATGTTGATAAAAATTAATCAAATTATATAAATAAGTTTGACTTTACAGTCATGTGCAAAAAATGTAAGAGTTCTGTCAATTCCATGGTTTTACATATCGGGCAAAAAAAAGAGAAATTACTCTTAAAGTTATTTAAATCCAACCTCAGGCGTATACCACATTTTACTACATATACCACTATTTCATTATTTATTTAAGTCACAACACAGAAGTAGTGTGTAGAAAAACAAAGTACACCCCGTGATACAGTAGCTCATAAAACCACTTTTGACAGCAACAACTTGAAATAATGATTTTATGTATGACTTTTTCTGTCTCTCCCATTGTTTCTCTGACCCACTCTTCTTTACAACATTGCTTCAGTTTCAGTTTAGTTGAAGAATGCATTGTATTTGTTTATACACAGCTCTCTCTCAACCCTCCACCACCTCCATCTTGACAGCTGTCATAAGATGTTTGTGCTTGTTAAGACCAAGCTCAAAAGCCAAAACAGAAATATGGAGACTGTCACCAGAGTTTTAAAAATGTACTTTATTTTTATCATTATATAATTTTAAATTGCAAAGAGAAAAGAGGTTGCAGAAGGGCCTAACACCTCACACATAACTTTAGTTGACATCTTCAAACATGGATATGAGGATCCCAAGTTGCTGCACAGAGCAAACAAAAGTAACATGTGACCAGCACATAGATGAGCACAACAGCCACAAATCAAAAGGATTACTCAGTAAGTAATTACTCAGACAATTACTACAACACAAACCAAAAGCATCAACCAACAATCCCAACCATGTGATCTGTTCTTGCCATCACACAAACAGTCACACACCAAGCGGCCCTATGCCACAACAAGTTACTTTGATCTAGAAAATTCAGTAAAGCAAGCGTACTAGTGACCAACCCCAAATGAAGTGCAATATCTACGCAATTTAAAGAAATGTTTTTGGCCGTCACCTGGCCAACAACACTCACAAGTGATCCAACAAAAGTAGCCAGCTTTTCCACAACACTAAAGGTCACAGCACAAAGCACTCACCTCATCATCTGGCATCCATAAACACTTATTTACTAGATGTAGATGTTTGAGGCAACTTTGAACGCAAACTCAAGAGCAGGCAGCAGATCAGAGATGCAGTCTACAAGAAAACTCTGAAGTCTGAATCCCCACCCAGGATAACCACCAAACTTAATAAACTAAACCACCAAACAGGTACTACAGTGGACAGGCAGCACAGCCACCCAGCTGAAACACATTTGCTAAGGAGAGTTTTCTCAATCACAGCTAACACCTTAATCATCACTCAAAACCTCTGATGTTTTGTCTCCACAAACATATCTAAAGTGTCCAAAATATCCCGGACAAGCCCCCATTTATGTTACAACCTTTCTCAAAAGGAGCAACATAAATATGGAGTCTGACACCACAGTATAAAAAATAATAGATTTTATTTTAAATGACATAATAAGTTCGCTAAAACAGGTGGTACCACAGAGACAAAACTGGTGCGCCCCTCGAAAGCCTGGCAGCTGTGCCAGGTTTTGGACCTCACCAGGTGTAGTCAATTAGCATTTCAACCCAGGTAAGACCTGAAGACTCGTGCACTGCCACTGCAAAGGGAGCAGGTGTTGCAAAGGGGCATAACAGGTTTGATATGTTGTGTTTGATTTTTATCAAACATAATGGTGTGCATTATGTGCAAATATCTCTACTTTGGTCTCATCTGTCCAAAAAACATTGTCCCAGAAGTTATTATTTCATATATAATTTTGGAAATCTAAGCTGTGCTACCATGTTCTTTGCAGAGAGAAGAAGCATTGTCCTGGAAAACCTTCCACACAAATCATACTCATTCAGTTCTTTTCTAATTGTACTGTCATGAACTTTAACAGTTAAGATGCTAACTGAGGCAAGGAGAGTTTGAAATGCTTTGTTTAAATGTTATTTTTTAATAAATTCTCTGAGCTTTGCATGTACCTTGGAGTTAATTTGCATGAACAATTTGTGTTATTCATGCAAATTAACATGTTAGGGACCAAGTATATTATGTCTTGATACATACATCTTTAAATTAAAAGAAAGTATAGTTGTTGTTTTTTTTCACAAAACTATATGCAAACGTCTCCCACTGTCTTTATCACACACTAGCAGGAGGGCAGCTTCAAACAAAGCACATCCACTTGTATGGTGTTGTAGTTCTAGGTCCCGACTGTGGTAATGCCTCCTTTGCTAAAGCATCACTTTTGTGTCAGTAAAAACCTCAACATGAGTTTTGAGACATACCTCTTCATTGATGTACCAGTACAGGCAGTTGTCTTTCAGAACAAACCAGTACTTCTTCCATTTTTGAGAAAAGTAACCCTTTGCATCTCTCTTTCTCCACAGCCAACCCTCGCAGTCTCCTCTGCCCAGCGCCTTGCAGGAAACACGCCTCCGACTCAGCGAGGCCAAACTTCGTCCTGGAACAACATGGAGGAAATGTGAAGGCAGCGGAATTCACGGACAGAAAATGATCTCAAAACTAGAAGAAAGCACAAACTCAAAGAAGGAAAATGTGTCATTCAAAGGGTAGCACTAATGCTGCTTGTAAGTTCTCACTTCAGTGTGAATAAAATCTTTCACAAAATGTCACATCCTAATGTAGCAATGATTCTTGGCAATGCCTCAGTCTCTGGACTTGACAGAATGCTGCTGCACTGCAGTAAGGTAAGAGGTGTTTAATAAAAACTGCCTTTTCCTTCTGGCATAAAAGCCCTGTAACATTTTTCTCAGCAGGCTCCTCATTAAAGATTACCGGGGAAACTTGGCTCTCAGTCGAGGCCACGGAGAAACTTGCATAGTACTGGATGAAAAGTCTTTTAACATGGTTACAATACTCCATTTACATCTGTGGCAGTGCAGGTCTAAAGGAAACAGGATTCTTACACAGTGCATGACATGAAAAACTACACTTCAACTACGCATTGTGAAAAGATTTTGAGTCTGGAGATAATTAATAAGCTTTAGAACACCCCCACCCCACTCGACACACACACACACACACACACACACAGACAGACAGACACACACACACCTTACATCCTCAAAATGCACAAAAGTGTTCTCGAATAATGATTATTCTTCATTTTCTGTGCAGCAGCTCCAGGCTATAAACTGATACCATCACCAATTTAGCTTTAAAAGAGAACTACTCGTTATAGAAAACGAAGATTTTTTTTTCTCTGATCCTCAACGAAAAGAGTTACTAATATTTCATTACACATTTGATAAGAGTACCACTTGGAGCAGTGGAACTGTGAATAAATCATTATTATCACACTCATTTTGAAACTTTGCTTTAATTGCGGTAAACAAACAAAGCCGTTGACCATACGTGCAGATGGAGCTAAAGCTTTCGCACAATGGCAGATGGTGAAACAAGCAAAAGGCCTCTGGAAAAAAACAAAAAACAATCCCTTTCAACATGTTAATCCTCGTTCGTGTGGTAGAAGAGAAAAAAAGGTTTGGTCAGATAGGGAAAAAAATACTGATGGCTGTGAGTAAAATTATCCAAAAAAAAAGAAGAAAAAATCCTAATAAAAAATCAACTGAGTCATTTATGTAAATAAAACTAAAAAGGTAAGAACTGATGTTACAGTAATCATCCTGCAACGATAAATGTTAACGATGATATAGAGAAATGCTGGATTCGTGAATGTGTGCACACTGACTGAAAGCAAATTCGCCTGCAGTCCGGTCTGCAGCACGCTCATCAAAACATGCAAAATGGGAACAACGTGTTAAAATGCAAACACAGAGCTGTCTGCACAGACTGCATGAGTATGAAACGATTACAAGGTGAGAAAACTACCTCATAAGCAAATTATTAAAAAATTTTTACATCGATTTTTTTTGACTGTTTATTTCAACTGCTAAAACCATAAATCATGTTTTCTTTGGCTCAGCCCAAACTGTGAAATGCATGAAAAGCAATGAGGTTTTTCAATTATGCATTACCGTTAATAAATGATCACAAAAATGTGGAGAAATCGACTTTAATCTTGAGTATTACTGGAGCAATTTATCAGTTTATATAATAATGAATTTTTAAAGCCCACCATTCTTTAAAATCATTGATTATAGGAAAGCTCAGAAAACAGCTACAGTTCCCAACTTCTTAATTGTGGCCACTTGTTTATTTTAGCCTGAGTAACACAAAACAGAACGAAACAATGAGCAGTTTTTAAAACTGACGATATATTTCAGACTAAGTTACCACAAATATAAACATTCATTACATATTCACCATGTCTGTGTATTTACCACAGTGATGGAAAATGAAGGGGAACTCTTCATTTGGTTATAAGATCTACTTTCTTGTAGCTTCTTTGAGAGGTGAAAAGATGAAGAAGGGGCAAAAGTTCTTTCCATTTAGTTGTTGATGAAAGGTAAAAGATGTTTTCCTGATCAGATGAACATACAAACTGTCTGTGAGCCATTTAAGGACAACACAGCACTAGGACTTCAGTGGGTTAAATTTCATTCACTTTCATAAGAAGAAAAACAGCCTAGACAAAGGGGTTGGTTTGATCCATTGGCATTGTTTCTATAATAATGTTATATATGTACCTAAACTACTTGGGATACTAACCCTTACTACTGACAGCAGTTTTTTTTAGCTGTTGTTTGAAAGTAAAACTAGAGCTTGTTGATTCATATTGTACACTCTAGATAAAAGATGCCAGCAAAAAGTTAAATGAACCTCTAATGGCCAGCTGGTTATCTGTGTTCCCCCTTGATTTAAATCAATGTGTTTCACATTGAGCTTTCAAGCAGATCATTCACAAATTGGAGAGCTATAAATGAAAGTTTTCCAAAAGTTCCCAAGGTCACAGAACAATTAAAACAAAGAGAGGAAATCACCCCAAATTACCCACTTAAACTCATCATTCAAAAAAAAAATTTTTTCTAGTTGGTCAGAGATTAGAAAACATGCAGTTCCGCTTGTGTTTCCAGTTTCTAGTTGTGTAAGTGATACTGTACTACACAGCTTTAGGTCTTCTGATATGACAAACTTTTCCACATTTGTCTCCAGATACATTGGATCCACTTAATATGCAAGAAGAGTTTGTTACAAACAAACAATGACTAAAACTAAATGTCCTGTCTTTTCTATATAATTGTCTTCCACATGGGATTTACTTGCCTTCAAAAATTGCTTTGGGAAGCATGAAAAACTGGAAATGTTAGATGTTCTCCTGCTAGCCAGTAAACCCTTCAGTCAGACCTCCAGTCCTGAGCATGATCATGGAGGAATTTGCCAATCTCTAAGCTGAAATATATGGGCAAGGGCAGCAGATGTGCATGAGCTGGTAATTATGGATGGTGTTTACACACATAAATATGAAATTAACTTAAAAATTCATCCATATGCTGACATCTAACACCAGAAAATTAAGAATCTACCACAAATCCTCTTATTGGGAGCAAATGCACCAGTAATTTTGCCCCACTCCTCCTCAGCTATGTGACTGCCTTCATTTTCATTATGACATTTTTATTTCAGTTACATGAGAGTTATAATTTCATATTTTTGAATTTTATTTGGAATTTTTGTTTTCCAGAGTGGGGTTTTTCTCATTTCAGTGTTAGGATTAAAGTGTTTAATTAGATTGAATTAGACATAAAAACTTTTCAGGGGTTCAGAACAGCTGTTACAATACAAGCACACCTTTTCTGATGATAGTTGACTCACATTAATGTAGTCTCAGTAAACATCTGTTCCAAAGCTTAGTTTATATAAAAAATGCCCTTCGCTTTTTAGATTTTTTAGTTTGGTCAAATTTGTCATCACAACCTTTCTTTAACTGAGTTTTCCCGAGTTAGTTTTGTGAGTGCAAAGTATCATTTCAGTTCAGATCAGTATCAAATAAAGTGTTACTATGACTGCTGGCTTTGTGAAGCAGCAGCTGCTCTCACATTCTTCCTGCTTCCATTAGTGGATGAGTGAAAAATCACAACTGGCAGCATCTGTTCACACCTAACAGGTGGCTTTCCTGCTTACCTTTATTCTTCTTCCTGTTCTTTGACTGCAGAGAGGAGGAGGAGGAGGACTGTTGGTATGTCTGAGAGAGGTTGGAAAGAAGAGGAAGAAGAGAGGGAGGGAGAGGCAGGCTGTCAGGATGAATCAGTGCCCTTTGTTTGCTGCAATGAATTCTGGGATATAAAAGATGACAGATCTTAGGGAGAGCAGGAGCGATGAGACGAGGAAAGGGGAGCTGAATCGTTCTCCCCGTTCTCTCATTATCTCTTCCTCACACACAGACACACATATGAGGGGATGGAAAAGTGAACCTCACGGAGGACATTAGTGACTTTCACACCTCTAAACATAGAACAGAAGGACAGGAGGGAGGTTCAGGTGACACAATAGGACGTCCAGGTGAGGGAGGACGTTTGTGTGTGTGTGTGTGTGTGTGTGTGTGTGTGTGTGTGTGTGTGTGTGAAGAAGCTCAGGGGAGCTGTGAGATTAAGCAGAGACTTCAGTAAGCAAAACATGAAGGACAAGCATCCAAAACAAGGGTATGTGAAGTCTGACAGTGAACCCTGACATGCCCACTTACTTGGTGTGTTTAAAATTTAGAGTGAATTATCTAGTTTGTGCTTTTAAAAGAGGACAGAGGTAAATCTATCAGGGGATTACTGTGATATATGAAGAAGTGATCATTCAAGTTGTGCAATTTTCTTAGTGGATAACAGTTACATCTTAAAGAATAACTGTTCATGATTCCATGTTTGTCTAAAGCAGAAGGAATAGAAAAAGTTAAGATTGATTTTGTTTTATAAAACAGTGGCAATGATATATGTGGAGTCTATGCTAATGTTTAGTCAGCATCATAGACAGTGCCAAAGGCCGACGTAGCTTCTGTGACTGAAAAGCGAAACATAAAAAGTGAAGCCGATGGGGAAATGCCTTCAGCCTGCTTTGTTTTTAATGAAAGCTGGGGGAACTAGATGTGATTGTAAAAAGACTTCCAGTCTCACAGGAGTCTATGGGAAAATGTACCACCGACTGGACCTCAAGTTCCACGTGACTCATTTCAGGAAATACTGAATAAAACATTAGGTCCATTTTTAAAATTTTGGCCATTCTAAGGTTTGCATTATACATTGCGGACACAGACGTGCACATCTGGAACCCTGACGGCCGAGCAGTCTTTCCTGTTATACTTCTTTGAAGTCCCCCACCTGGGTCGCATGCGTGGCTAGTGCATTGTAATGTAAAGTCTCTGTGGAAAAGTTCTTGCAGTCCACATGGAACCTCACGCTCAGTGTCTGATCACAAAATGAAAGTCACACGGGAAAAAGATCTATGAATGCGTAAAGTATAATCCCATCTTAAATGTCAGAAAGGAGAATAATCTGGGGCTAACAGCTTGTTATTGACAGCTCATTAGCCAATGAGCATGCAGTTGGATTAACAGTTAAATTCACACCTTTCTCACTGCAGAAAACCACAAAGGCTTCAGCAAAAACGCTCATCTCGACACCTCATAACAGAACTACACCAGTGGATGATGTCATAATAGATATGTCCATCATTTATAATGTCTAGGGTCAGTGCCTAGCTGACGAATAATTTGATAAGAGTAATGTGGGCCTTGAAATGACCTGAAAGAGTAAGCCAAACTAAATATAACATCTTGTGTTCAGATCTGACTGAGTAATGACACTGCGGAGAACTGAGTGTATTTGATGCCTCACGCAGCATCCTTGATCCAAAACAACAAACTCTGACCAGCACATTTCTCATGTGACCTCTCTCTACCGGTCAGATGGGGCAACAGACCAGCTCTGATGTCACGATATTACACATGTCAGAGCCTGGACCTCAGCCACTCACAGCCCAATACTCAGCAGGACAGATTACATGGGCCCGCCCACTCCCACTGACACGCCATCTGCCATCGCAGCGCCCATGCACACTGTAAACACATACTCGAGCACGGGCATGCAAACACTTTTAATTTTCAAAGAGATGCTGACAAGATGTATAAGGTCACCGCCGGCCAAAATGACTGCCTGGACCGGCAGGCTGAGACGGACAGGCAGGGCAGGCGGATGTCATGGAAGTGACAGGGGGTAATAACGAGTCAGCATTCGCTCACATCACACTTCACTGTGGCACTTTTTCATCATGGCTAAAAGCTATTTGCTTTCTCTCAAATCTCTGAGTCCTGACTGTTAGATTCGTATCACAACAGATCCGAGAAAGTCAGAGGAATTTCCTGATTGTCCAGAGTAGTTCAGATCCACAATATGAAGCTATATTTTGCACCTGGAGTTTAAATCAACAGCTTATTTAAACACAACAGTACTCTTTTTATGTCAATTTCAGTGAGATGTTTCACTTCAAAAGCTTGTTGGGGCACTTTTTCCCTCTACACTTCCTGGACATCATCCCTGTCAACGACATATTCCCTTTGTTATCCTTTATTTTAAAGACTTTATCTTACATGGTTACTTTGGATGTTTGCCTATTTTGTCAAAAGTTGAATGAGTAGATCAATGCCACTTTTATATCTGTATAGTTAATAAGTTATTATAACTAACTACCACCATGATTGTGAGTGGTAGTAAGGCTTCTGAAAAAAATTAAATAAATAAATACCATGACTTGATAGCGTGGCAAGAGTATAACTGTATATCAAAGATGGACATAGCTTCAACAACTGCCTGAATTGTGTTCTCATGGCCAACGGAGAGTTCACCTCATTGGGTCTCATTGTCTAGAGGTCCCTGTAGCTCTCTTGATTTATGACCTCAGTAATCACCTTCCTAATGAGTATAGGTCTAGGTATATTGCCTCAAACACTAGCTTGAAGTCTTAATTAATATAACATAGTACAATGGTACACTGTGATCCTATTAGAGTAAATTATATGCAAAAGCAGGGCATGATTTGGTGTGTCGCTAACATGACTTGTTTCTCAGTCAGATCCACCTCAAGAAACCACAATGAAGCATTCAAACAAGTCCAAGCCAACAGGTAAGATTAATGTGGCTAGGCGGCACCTTAGATATTGAGGTTTTGCAGTCATATGACCACTAACCATGTGACAATAACTTTGTTTTGATCATCTGTCCACCACCAGTTGCGAGCGAAAAATGTGTATTACCTGACAGGCTGGTGAGCCATTGCTGTAGTTTGATGGTAATCACTAGCAATCGACTCCAAAAGCCCCAGTCACACAGGCTTACAGACCCGTCAAGAGACCCCCTGGCAACCACTGGTTGCTAGGGAACAATATGTAATATGTTGTACAAAGCAAGTTTCTGATGCAATAAAATCTCTGTGACTGATTACACCAAGCGGCGCAAGCAGCTTCCAGCAACTATTTGCCAACCAGTCAGGGAATGAATATTTTTCAAGGTTGTATCACATCTAATGTGGGGGACAACTCTTGAGCAATGTGAGCATGACATGATGAACCTGAAGTATATGTTTAATAATTAGCCTAACAACCATAAAAGTAGTTTGTCAGTGAGTAATGATCACACTTAAGATCATAAAGGAAATAAAACTAGTTTTTTTTTTTAATATATTTATCATGGTGAGTTCACAATTTATCGTGATGCATGCATGGGATACAGTATGTTTTATGTTCAATGTGTATACAAATTCAAAAGTAAGAAAATGTATAGTTATAAAAGTTAGGTATAAAAGTTGTGCGTAGATGTTTTTGCTTTCAGACCAAGCTAGTCTAGCCATTCGTGGTCTTCAATATAAGAGTGGCATTGATTTCCCCATCTGGCACACAAAAAACACTTCTTTGAATTTCCAGAGTGATTTATAGAGGACATAAAACACGAGACAGTGAAAGTAGACAGTATATCCTTGGTTTCTTGGCATAAACATAATTGTTAAAGCCGTCTCAAACTGCTTTTCAGTTTTACTGGTCTTATTTTCCTCCGAGCTGTCAATTCTGTCACTAGTTAGCTAACATAAACTAATGTAAGTCTATTAGCCACAACCAACCGACCAACCAAATGACATCACATTCCGTACTGACAAAAGATGATGCTAAACTGTTTTTTCAAACTTGAACTTTAAGCACTTATTTCTTAAATACAGCTTCACAAACAGAGTTACATCAATGTCAGTTGTTGCTATCATGTTTCCATGTCTTCTTTAAAGTTGTCATTGTGGATTGAAACAACCCAAAAATAAAAGTTCTGTATTTAAGAGTCCGCAGTGATAAAGACAATGAAAGAGCAACAAAAAAACAAAGACAAAAACATGTAAAATAAATAAACGAACAAAAAGAGAAAGGAAGAAGCAAATACATTTTTACAAAGTCCATCCCTTACATGATAAATGGAGGCTGGGTCCCTGGGAGGTGACTCTCTCTGATTTGTCTGAAGGACATAATGGGAGGGGCTTTGACTGTGGTGGCTCCGCCTCTTGGCACGTTTGGCCGTATCATTGGACCGTTTGCCCGGACGAGCTGTGTGGGAGGAGTAGTCTTCACCGCTGGTCCGTTCGTCCCCACCGGACAGTCCCACGTAACGCATAAGCGAGGCTTCTGTGAGACACAGTTACACCAGCCAATCAAAGCTCCGCCCACATTTGACTGATTTTGATCTCCTGCTCATACTTTTTCTAGTCTGTCTTCATCAATACTTCCTATGTTGTCATGAAGGTTTCTGGGTTAATTAGAGACTAAATTTAAAAATATATAAATAAAAGGCTGCAGAAAAAAATGTCCTGTTATTCAAATGCATCAAAATTAGGGCAGTAGACTTCAAGAGCAGTCAATAGAAAGATTTTAAAAAAGGAAAACTTTTTAAAGCTTTTGACTTCTATTTACAGAATCCATACTTACTTCATCAGCTATTTTGAAAATATCTAAGGAGTGCAAAAATTCCAGACGTAATTTTTTTTTTTTTTGTGCCCCGTAGTCTCGGCATCCCTCGAGGTTAATTAGTTTTGTTTAACCCAGACTGCAGTAAAAAATTCTGCATTGTGTTTTATCACCTGATAAACAGACTACTTAATTTGTGAAATAAAGAAAACCATGCAGCAAATCAGCTCTGGGGATTTGGTAATTTATAACCAGGACTAACAGATTAAGGTCAAGAAAAGATCACGGTCACTGTTGAATAAAACCATCTTATTAGCTGCAATGCAGTTATGTAAAAAGCCAACAAGAAGACCAAAGTCAGCACATATGGGAAGGACAAACTGTCAGAAAATCCCTTCAGGCAGCGTCAGTTGATAAAGACGTATAAATAATAAACCTGCACAAATTTACTTTGGTGAAGGTGTGATGAGGAGTTTTTGTGTTTTCATGTGAGGATTCAGAGACACACATCCTGCAGCCATTTTCACACGCTGCCACTAAGCGGTGTGCCCACAAAGGAAGTGAGGAAGAGAAGTGTTAGCCAGCATTGAAAGGGGCACACCAATTTATCACACAAAGACTCCACGGTTGTTACTTTTCAAGTCAAATGATTGTGCATTCAAAAATCTGCACAAATAACACAGACTTCACTTATATTTGTGCCATTTTTCACAATACAAGCTGCAGTTTCCAGTTTCCTTCAGTTTGGGAGCATGATTTTTTATTTCCTTTGTCAAATATTGCACTGCTCTCCCACATAATTCATAAGGTCTGTGCACGCATTTGGATTTCCTCTGTTCTTGCTCCAAACTGCACCTCTGCACTCAGAGGTTCTGTTGCCTGGACTCATTTCCTGTGTGATATCCATCCTCTCTGCTCCCAGGATTTTTCAGTTTGCTTGTGAAACTTCAGCTTTCTGATATTTGTGCAACAGGTTATGACCCAAGTGGGCACAAGTCCCTGGGCAATGATAAGCACTCAATCACTGGTTTGATTCCCTAGCTGAACTGCAAGTCATTTCATGTAGCACTGGTGTAGGAACAGTGGATACATTGGATTAAAGGGAGAGTACTTGTCCATGAGTGACGCTTCAAGTACAGCGAAAGTACTCACTTGATGATTCTGCACCTCAAAAAAATAAATTTTTAAGGATGCGGAGCTAATCTCTATTGTGAATACACACCATTTCAGCTCTGCTCCAAGGTGAGGTGTAGCCAGTTATGGTTACTGGTTATAATAGCATGGTTTTGCAACATCTGCTCCACAACCATTATTATTATTATTATTATTATTATTATTATGTGTTAACCGTTAGCACAGGGTAGGTTTAAAAAAAAAATCCCTAATTATCAGACAAATATGTTAATCACAATAACCCTGGTAACACTGTTTCTAGGAACTGAAAATGACCATATAAGCAATGCATTTATTAATATATTTTGAGATTTGCTATGGAGACATGGCACTCAAAGAATCCAGAGTAGAAATATATGAGCAAAAATAGAAAATCCTGCCCCTGCTCCCACAGAACCAATCAACATGAAACATTTTTGGGGGATGTTTCAGTCCAAGTTTTTAGAGTTAGTATGGAGTTTAGTCCTTTTTATGTTTCTAAGTTTAGTTGTTCTTCTGGTTCATGTTTTCTTGTCTCAGTGTCATCCCCCGTGTTTCCTCTGAGAGTCCATCATGTCCTCTGTGTATGTTCCTCAGTCATGTCCATATCTCCCTCCGTGTCTTGTCTCCCTTTTCGGTCCCCAGTTTCCCCGCCTTGTTTTTTATTCCTTGTCTCCCTTGTCAGTCATGTGCATCCATGTGTTCTCCACAGTCCGTCATGGCTCTGTGTCCCTCACTCATTCGTCCTCTGCATCTCCTCAGTCTGTCTGGTTCCCATGTCTGACATTTTCTCATCCTGTGTTCAGTGTGTTCAGTTTCTCTTCCCCTGTCTCCTATTCATCCCAGCTGTGTTCCCCATGTGTTTCCTTTCTCCCTAATCACCCTCGTGTGTTTCTATTGTATGAGTTTCCTTTTGCTCCTCGTCAGGTCGTCTGTCCGTTGTTCATCATGTTGCAGATTTTTCCCATATCCAGGTTCCGTGTTCCATTTATTTTAATCTTATCTTCTCAGTTTAGTTTATTGTTTAGCTTCATCTTACTTCCCTTCTGCATATCGTAATTTTTTTTCCTTCAGTCTAAATAAAAGGCTCTTATTCTGTTAAATCCATTCTCCTTTTGGTTTGTCTGCATTTGGGTCTACTCCGTGCACTGGCCACCGGCGGTAACAGGTCGAGGACTTTTTTCTTTTGTTTGGAATGATTCCTCTTTTATCGTTTCAAGATTGAACATTTTGCATTTTTGCTAATACATGTCCAGATGTAATAAGAAAACATGGTAAGAAGTATGTTGAAGTTACAAGAAAATATCACAGGTCAATTTGGATCGAGGGATTCAGCTCCTGCATGGTGAGGATGCTAACGTTTAGTCTTGGCTAGTTTTGTAGTCTGAGGTTTATTTTGCTTCTAAGAGAATTACGGAGAAAAATTATTAGAGAGACTGACCATGCATTAGTGTTCAGCTCTTTGAACACAAAAGGAGGAGTGTGGGGATTTAGCCATAACAAAACATCTGCAATAATACTAGTATTTTTTTTTTATATAACACATTTCTTTCATGTTGTTATGTGTGCTGATGATGGCACACAATAAGATAGGTAGCATCTACAAATCACTGGAAACTGCTAAACAAAAAGTTTTTTTAATGGAATTTATATAACCAACACGCTACCAATTCAGCATTGTAAAGTTTTGCTTGTGTGACTGATGAAGTAAAATTCCTCGGCTCCAAAATACTGTTTATGAGTTCATCTGTGCAGCTGAGTTTATTCCTGCTTTGCTCTGAATTTTTTTACATCTTTTTTGTGTAACTTCTCTCCATTTCTCCACCTGAACTCTGGAGCAAACTCGGGTTTCCTCTACCTCTCTCTTCCCTTTTCTGCGGATCCCACTCTCCTGTCCTCCCTTGGTTGCTAGGCAGCGGCCAGAGGAAAGTGAGACATCGAGAAGAGCTGCTGTCAGCGTCACCATGGCAACTGTGTGAGTGATTCAGGTGGAGGTCAGGGAGAATAAGCTTTTTTCAGTTTCTACCTCCACCCCTCAGTTCCTCTTTTCCTCTCTTTCTCTTCTTCCTCCTTTCATGGCTTCCTTTCATTTTCTCTCCCTTTGTGCAGACTGTTTGCCTTTTTTCTCCCCCCTCCTACTTCTTTCCTCATCATCCCCCCCTCATTCCTCTGTGATGCTAATCACAGGGAGAATTAGCAAAAAGGGATAGAGGTGCATTGATCTGCACACACACGTTGATCTCTTTATAATTCATAGAGACAGGAGCGCTTAACAAATATCTAACAGGCTCTTCAGGAGACACATATGCACTCCACACGCCGGCACTCACCTCTGCGGCTTTCTCTGTTAAGCTTGGCTGGGTCTTCATAATCACCCACCCAGTTACACTCCACAGGCATGGAGATGGGCCTCAGCCTGCCTACAAGTGCACACACAATCACAAGTTTAATAGTAGCAAAGCAGATGGGTTGATCAATAAAAACTTATGGTCCTCAACCAAAAATTTGAAACTGTTGTGCAAATTTTCACACTTTCCAATAAACATTAGGCTAAATGTTGGTACACTTAAAAAATAATAATTAAAGGACAAGATGAAGAGTTGTACTGAACTGATATTTAACGATGAATAAGGGCTTTTAACAACATTAAAGCAGCCGTAGTAATTGCAGGATTCTTGTATTTCGCCAGCTTTGTAACAAGCTCAGTCGCTCTATGCTGGGCCTGCAGGTGGATTCATACTCAAATAATGATTTTTATTTTTTCTAAAGTGGCTCAATTCTGCAGCATGAGATTGAACTCGGTTCCCTCGCGCTTTGTTTCTCCCTCTCACACAAACACTCAATCATGATAAGAGCGAACCGTATGTGGGTGTGGTGCAGTACACGGGCTCCTCCTCTTCTCGCCGGCGAGACTCTTGATCCAGGAAGGAGTTCGGTGACTCAGAGCGCTTAGCAGCGCTGACGCCACCATGGTTACGAGATGCTTCATCACCAGACAAGGCTCCTGTCTCATCTCTATAGCAACAGCAGAGGCAGATTTTTAACAAATGGACGTCAGTGTCAGAGCTCATCTTTGCTGTCACCTGTTCCACTGTTTTATCCCGCTTTTATTTTCAGCTGTTTAAAAAACCCAGGTTAACTACCTGGGTGTATATGGCTCAGCAGGTGGAGGGGGGATGTAAAGGTCCTGGAGGGCGGAGTTCTTGGTGGGTGTGCCTGAAGGCGTGGCTGAACTGCTGCCTGGGCTTCTGGTCGGCTGCAAAAAGTGGAAGTAGGGTTTGATTTGTCTTTTTTTTCTGGAATCTAAAAACCTTTTGCTTCAAGTTCAACTTCTGACATAAAAATATGTCCTAAATATATCCTAAATATAACTCTAATGTTGAATGGCTTGACAACTTCAAGAACCCAAGAAACACAGCACACCCATGACATAATACAATAATGAAGTGATTGTAATTGTCTTTAAATGATCCATTTTAAGCTTAAGTTATAGCTGAAAACTAGTACAGCTTTAAATAAAATGAGAAAATTTGGACAAATCTCTAAATGGAAGAGATGTGGCTGAAAAACAGAATTGAATGGGCCTGATCTCCAGGCCCTCAAGAGGAACTGGATTACAAACAGACTCTGAAGTGAAAATCACTGCATGAGCTCATTAACACTGGTGAATTCATAGCTCATTAGCGCACACTGCCTTCCTGTGAAGGCCCCATTAATGCTGAACAACATAGGCAGGCTTTAGGGAAATGCATAGAGCCATCAGTCCTTTTCTTTCTTTCTTTGCCAGAAAAGGGCTTGTTTATTACAACAAGCCACTGCCAAACACCATTTCGTATGTATTTTCATGGCTAGCATTGCTATGTAAAGAATCATCCCTACATTATCCTTTTGATTCCTGGCCTCAAGCAATGATTACCCTGGGAATTTTACAATTTAAAAGCATTTACTTATTAAAAGTACTATTTGTGTAACTAATATTGTTTGGCCAAATGAGCAGAAAGTCCGCCACGATCAGAGGATAAGAGAGGTTGAACATGGTGAAATGTCACTAAGCTACAGGTGGATTGAGATGTTTTGTCATCACGAGTGAAAATACTAGTAAAGGTACTGAACTCTGATTTAAGTCAGTGTATTGTCTATGTTTCATTTTTTTTTAAATCTGTCTGACTCTCTAAAATTGTTAAAACATTGACCGCAAACAGCATACCAACTGTGACACCACCCAGTGGTGCGCCTGCTCTAAAGCAAGACTTGCTTTATCCATCTTCTTGACACTAACGGGACTCATAATTTAAAAAATGAACATTCTGGTATTTAATATAACTAAAAACTGGAGATTAACACTATAAACTTATCAGGAAGGTGTTTGTCGAGATTATGAATCATTTTAATTAATTTATTTGTAAAGTGCCAAATCACAACAGCGGTCACATCAAGGTGCTTCATGTAATAAAGTAAAGATCCTACTATGATACAGAGAAAAGCGTAAAAATCAAGTCTGCTAATTTGTTTTTCCATCGACATCGAAAGAATGCAGCCTTGGTGCTTGAGTTTGGAAGCAGCATCCATCTTTTCTGTACAGTCTATGAATAAAACACAAACTTGATCTGTTAGTCTTTGCATTTAAAAATAAATTATCTCTTATTCTTTAGGAAAATATCATCATTGGCAGTTATTGGAGGCATGTTTAGTGAAATAGGATAGATGGATGCAGATCTAGTTCAGGTTTGGAAATGTGAGCTTTTTGATCAATTGTGAACTATGAGCTACTTCATTTTATTCTGCGTGAACTAAACTTTGAACTAGCTCATGTGAACCTGCACGTCACTGACGTTTGTTGGATTTGGTACTGGAATTGGCCTGTGCAGAACTTCATTGGGGGGTAATCGGGGACAGGAATCGACCTGCATATTTCTTCAACTATTGTGAAAACTCCATAAGCTTCCATTAAGACTGAAAGAGATATTGCAAGGAGGGACTACTTACCATATAGGACAAAATAAAACAAAATCAATATCCCTTCCTATAAGTGCAAAGCGAGCACAGTGGCAGCTGAGTGTAGTTATTATCTTTTTTTACCTCCATAAAAAATGATCATTGTGTCCCCAGGGCTTAGAGCGTACTGTGTTATAATATCCAATTGCAACTATAGCCAAACTACAAAAATAAGAACAAAGTTGTGTTCTTCTCCTTTGTGTTTTCCCCCTTTGTCTAGATAATCAGTGATAATTATAGTGCCATAATCTAAAATCATAAGAGATTTGGGAACGTGGCTTGAGGGCATCATCAGTTTTCGTTTCCCTTTCAGTCCAGTGTGTTTCAGCTGGCAAACAAAACCATGCTGAGCCACTGCTCCCTGACCTAATTACACGCTTTAGCTCCAGTCGTTCAGGAGAGGGAATGCTGTGGGGAATTATGTGGGCCAGTGCAGTGCTTTAATAAAGTCTATAAAAGGTAGAGCTAGTCCCACCTGCAAAGCCAGGGGTTTCCAGCGCATGTTCTTCAGCAGCGCAGGGGCAGAGCTGAGCGTGCTCTGTGGACGCTTCTTCAGGGTCAGGGACACGATGCCTTTATCGGCCCGCAGCGAGCCGACCAGGTTACGTAACTGCCAGCCCACCTGTGAACGAGAGAGGACGGAAAATTAGAGAGTAAAGTGATCTGCAGAAAAACTAGAAATCCTCTATATACAGATCAAAACAATCACACCCTTATTTATACAGTAAGTAGCCTTTATGTGCAGCCTGAAGTTTGAATTCTGTCCACGTCGTGATTGGATGTTGTTGAGCATTCTGTGCAAGGCAAGTGGGTGTGGAGGTGGAAAGTCTATCTATAGAGCTTTCATGTGATGTAACCTGCCCTCAATTTGAAAACAAATACATGTGATCACAAATCGTTTTGTTTTTTGGTTATTTTTATTTGTATTTACCCACTATATTTACAAACCCACATCAGCGCACTTTTGTGAACAGAAACACACAAGGGTAAACAAAAGTAAACACGGCAACAGGAAAGTTGGCCTAGCTTCCCCTCACTGCAGCTATTGAACTGATCTGATCATAATGCAGGAGGAGTCGTAAAGGTTAGAGGATCTGATTACACTAATTGGAAAGCAAGCTGCTTGCATTTGCACCTGTACACGGTCCACAGTACAAATGTAAGGAGTGCCACTAAATCACCAAACACCAAGCAGGAACTTGGTTTAAGTAGCTAATAAAATAAATTCCTGCTTATACTGGTCATTTTATCAATCATTAGACAGAAAATTAATCTTCATGTGACTCTTTTCTGACGACACTGAAAATCCTATCAGTAGCAAGCAGGGATGAAGCAACATGGCGATTATTTTTTTCTTCTAATAATCAAATAATTGAAACCCTCGTTTTAACACTCAACAACCTGTCCGTCTTTCAAACTCCTGAGATGCTTAGTTCATATTCAGCAGCTAGCAGCTGACTTAATCTGTCTGAGGTTTGTTGCCAAGCAATAGGGTATATCTATTTGAGCTTTTTTTCTTGGTCCTTACCAAAACAGCAGATTTTTGTAAGAACAAAAAACACTGAGGTGAGAAATGCAAGAATTCTATATATCTCATCCAGAGCTGATCATCTGACCATCAGCTGTTTATTTCTCATGACACATGAGCATCACATTATCTCTTTTGTGTTATTTCATCCAATTGTATTACATAAATACTATCTCAGCAGCTTCAAAGGCTTATTTATTGTCAGGGTCCAGTGTAAGAAGTGAGGACTTAGCAAAGTCCAAAAACCAAAAAGAAAACTTATTAAAATCTAATAAGAGCATTCAGAAAGTGCAATTATTCCAACAGGCTTTCATGAGCAACGTGCTGTCTGACCTTTGACCTATAACCTGACCTATGTTGAGCCAAGCTATGTACTCACTCAAGCTATGGCCTAGTATATTGTTGGGAAGTTTGAAGGCGATCCCGCTTTTCTTACTTTTCTTAAAATTTATTTCAAATCATGAAAGCGGTCTCTTTTCTTGAAATTTTTAGTGTTTAGTTTTTTTTTGGAACCATCTTAAAATTATATTATGTAGAGAACTACTTGCGCTAAATCTTTTTTAGGGTCATATTAGCAGCAGATGTAATGTCAATTTTGTCATACGACGTCATTCGCAAGAGTGTCAATGAAAAGCCTAAAAAAGCCACAGCACACAGACAAGAGAGGGGGGTGAAAACAGAGAAACAGTGGGGAGACTAGAATTTCAGTAAAATCAAAACAGCACCCAAATGTAATAATATCACAAGAACCAAAAGTTAGCATGACATCACAAAAAAATCCAATTCTATTATTGTTTGAATGAGTTTTTGTATATACAAAGAATCAAATAAGATTTAATGGTTTACTGCGTAAACACAAAAAACTGGGTACTCAGTAAGAGAACACACACCCACAAACACACCAACAAAAACTCACCACGGTCTGATGATTGACTTGAATGACTTCATCTCCTGCATGGATCTTCTTACAGCGGTCAGCCGGAGACTACAGAGGCACAGGAGCCAGAGAAAGAGAAGGCAAACAGACGACTATGAATTGATCTATCGATCCATGGGCACTGCTGAGGTTTCTCAGCAAACCCTACTTAAATAAGCTGCAATAAAGCAACAAGGGAAAGTCTTCCAGAGTCACTGATATTCTGATGTTATAAATACAAATTTCAGATTTGCAGATAATCTGAACAATAACTGGTGTTTTAGGGGAAGTCTGCAGTTCACTAGGTCAATTTGTGAAAAGTGGGATATTAATAAACCTCTCACCCCTTCTGTAGTTCCTGTGATAACATGGAGTCCATCGTAGGTTGACTTTATGTACATTCCCTAATTGACAAAGGAATGGAGAAAAAATGTAAGTGCTCTATGATACTAGTAAATATTTGGAAATACACACTGATTTATGAGTTGTAAAATTAAAAACAGCTCTCACAGAAACAGAAAGTTTATTCTAGTTTTGTCCTGCTAAAAAAAAAAAAATCAAGCATCTGAGCCCAAACCAGATGGGAAGGTGTGTCGCAGCAGGATGCCGTAGTAGCCGTGGTGGATAAGAGCGTGTCCTTGAATTCTGAATTAATCTCCAACAGCGTTGCCAGCAAAGCTCCCCACACGCCTTCACTGCTACAACTCCATGCATCACAGTGGAAAACCATATGCAGATATTCTCCCTTTATGTGCCTCAAAAATATGAGACTATACTCCAGATTTCCACTCATATTATGTCCATTCTTTGTGTTTCCAGACCGAGCAGGAACACATAATGCACACCCACAGTATGTGTCTCTGCTTTCTTGCTGGGAATATGATACGAAGATCTATACTAGTAACTACACTTATGGTTCCCCTCAGTTATGGTTTCGTTCTAAGACTGAGATGTTTGAACCCGAGGAAGTATTGATGTGGGCAGTAATAAGGTGCCATTAACTAGTGATTTCTGAGGCTGGTAACTCTGAAGAACTTCCCCTTTTTTTCCTGGAGTGGTGCCAGTTGGATCATATTGTTTAACAATTTTTGTGACTTGAAACTTGCACTTTAAACTTTCAAAATTTCAAAACTTTCTGGTCTGACTGATCTTTATGTCTTAGAGTAAAGATTTTTACCCACTTTGAAGTTGAATATCGCAGTAAATTATGATCTCATAAAGAAACAAAAGGTTTCACCTGTTAACTTCTGACGAGGTCTACTTGTGAAGTGAAAACTATTCCAGGTAAATAACTCATTAGGCTGGTTAAGATATTATCAATAATCTAAATTAAATCTGATTTATAGTTTGGTGATTTCTGTTATGTTCTACTCTAGAGGAAAATGTTAAAAATTTAAATAAAATAAACCAAAGCCAAAAGCCAAAGTTACCCCTTTGCTAGCCTACACTCCACTTAGTAGCCAACACACTGTGACCACTCGCAGCTGAGAGAAATCATTTTCTCCAAAGTGAACGGTTAAATTGTTAAACCTGAAAATAACAGGAAGGTGGAACAGCACTTTGACTGATCAATCATTAACACTCATTGATCTGCCAAAAAATTACTGATATGACTAGAAAATATGGTAACATGGAGACCTAACCTCCACATTATCTACAACTAGCATAAGATAAGCTAACAAGTTTTGTCATGCTAGCTAAGCTAACTGCAGGTTTGTAGTTTTTCAGTGATCATCACAGTCATGGCCAACAGTTTTGGCAATTACAAAAAATGTTTTTTGTCACATCAGTATTTATGGAGATTATTTGTTCTATATTTTTCTATGATGTAGTGCATATCATATACATTCAGTTCAACGTTTGTTAAAGACTTTTATATGCAAATAAACCAAACACACACAAAGAGCCAGTATTTACAGAGTTGACTCTTCTTCATAACTGTATCTGCTGTTCTCTGCAGCATACTGGATATTAGCTTCTGGACCAAATCCTGACTGATGATGAGCTATTCCAGCCTGATCAGTCCTCCAAGTTGGACTTTCTGGACTTCAGCTTGTACGCTCACTTTTTAAAGGCAAACTGTAGATTTTTGATTGAATTAAGATAAAAAAAAAAAATTCAATTTCATGATCTCTAAGCCACTTTGATGGAAAATGGACAGATCATTCCCAAATTGCCCCTGGAGAAGATGATCTTTAAGAATGTTTTCAGTATGGTGAATGAAAACATAGTTTGGAAACTGATGAAATGCTTAGGATTGTTCACTATATCACAGAAACATGTAAAAATATTGTAGCAAAAATGAAAAACTCAGTGTTGTATACCAAGCAGGTGTTAGTTTCAACTGAATCCAAAAGCATAAAATAGCTTGTTTAATTATTGAACTAGAAATGACTCATTTGTGGCTCTTTACTCTCAAGTATGATAGAAGGTCTGTCATGCATGCAAGCATATGTGTTATATCAAATCAATTAATATTTTGAGTAGTTCATAGTAATTGCGCTTTTTTTTTTCAAAAATTAAACAAAATTCTGTTTTACTGTGTATATTATTTCTACAAAAAAAGAAAAAGAAAGAAAAGAAAAGAAAACAATGCTTGTATTTCTTCTTTGTCTGAGCATACAAAGGCCGGACACAGTATGACTTAACACAATAAGATTCACACATCGCATGAATAAACAGAAGGGTGGGTCTTGGGCTGTTAAACCCAGACAAACAGTGATTACCAGGCCTTCAGAGGGCTTGATGTTGGTGAGGTGAACCAGCTCAAGGTGGGCTGACTGTGAAACCAGCGGGTCCGATGACACACACACAATGTGCTCGCACACCTCCGACAGAGTCTTACACTACAGAAAAGGAGGATAGAACAGGGACAAACAGGGCTTTTATTTAGACAACAAAGAACAAGCCATGTCTTCTAGCTGTCAAAATTAGACTATATTTCTAAGAAACCTCTTAGCCTTGTGCCTCAGCAGCTTCTCCTGCTGTTGCTTTTTCTATTGTAACTTTACCCAGGAAAAGAAACAGGTGGATATTTTTGCAGATTTGCTCTAAACCAAGTGAGAATGATTTGTTGCATATGCATTTTCTTTTCCTATTTACTTATTTACATTATATAGCTTATTTTCTTTCTGTTTTGTGAAAATTGGACAAAACTTTGAGCAATGCAGGCACAAAAAGACCAAGAGCCATGATTTCTCTGTTCATGCGCTTGCCTGCTTGCAGAAGATAAGTAAGCCTAAAAAAAGAGGCTTATTTATTTTACCCCCGTGCAATACGTCCCTGCAGTGCTCCAGTGGCCTTCTGATTTTGAGTCTGATTAAGGTTTGATTTTGGGCAAAGAGCCACTACAAGGTTGGTTCACATTAATCACAAAGATAGCTTTGGCTTTACTTTCTAGATATCTGTGAAATAATTGTCTCCAACCAAATATAATGGGGATTATTTTGCTGCCCACGACACTGAAAAATTGCATCTTAACAAACTTTAAGAGCAACATTTTTTTCCTGGCAGACACAATGAGACTCCATTCAAAAAGTTGTCAATAGTTTCAGATATGATTTCCCTAAAAAAAGAAAGTAGCTGGAAGAAAAAGCGCTGAGCGGATGTTTTGGATAATATCTGGCAGAGACTGCCAAACATTTTCACGAACATTTATAAAAGAAACCACAGACGGTGAACTCTTGGTAGGCATCATATTATGGATTTTCACTCCCCAAGAATCTGATCTGTAAAAAAACGAGTGTCCATCTTATACTTTGTGTTTCATCTTGCTGCATTAATCTAACTGAGGGCAGCCATGCTGGCAGCAGAGTACTCTTGACTATGTCTAAATGAATCAGACTCATCGGTCTTCCTCACAGCCGAAATGTCAATTTGTCATAACAGGGAAAGCCCGGGTGAAACTAATAGCATTAACAATGGCTCTGTTCCAGCAATTAGTGAAGCAGAGTTTGACAAATCAGAAGTGTGCTGTGAAAAGGGTCAATTAAACTTTAGCTGCCATCCAATCTTGGGACATGCTGATCTACAGTAATTGGGCTGCTTTGCAGATACTAAATGCTGCTAACATTTTCAAATGTAATTAATGTATTTTTTAAACATCTGAGCAAGGCAAACAAAATTTTAGAACCAAAGCCCAAGGTGGGACAAGTATACCCAACAGCAACTGCAAAGAAAGAAGTAATTTGGTAATGAAGCAGTAAAACTTTAACAGTAGGTGAATTACATGATTCCCACAGGCACTGATTCTTCAAGGTGCTGGAAACATCTGCAGAGACTTGAATGTCCTCACAAAGATACACTACCATCACCGGTCTGAACCACTGATACAAGACAGAATTAATCCATACTTTGATTATGTTCATGCCAAATTATGACCCTAACATTCGAATGCTGCAGCATAATCAAGACTCATCAGGTCAGGCAACATCTGTTGCCCATACTCTCATTTGTACTCAGTGAGCATACAGCTGGCTTTGGCTGAGGTGGTAGAATGGGTTGTTTGCCAATCAAAAGGTCAGTGGATTGATCCTGAACTTCTCCACTACATGGGCAGGATACTGAACCATGATTTGGCCCCAATCCATGTAGGTGTGGTGTGTGTATAATAGCTGTATAATAACTACATGAATAAGCAGTTATAAATGTACCTAATATGTGTATGTGTTTAGAGTTTGAAAAGAAGATTCTTAACATCTAAATTCAAAAGATAAGGAATTTCTGAATTTCAGTCATATCATGATGAGAACTGACTGCAAATCTCTAATACTGTAGTTAAATTCAGTATCAACATCAGAACAATCAATTGAGCTCATTCAGAGTATTAGATTCAGAAAGAGTAGATCATTTAAATTTCTCTAATTATGTGACTCCAAAGCTCACAGTATATTTACAGTTGGACTTGAGTCAGAACAGTGTTATTTTCATTCTGCCAGTGTCGTGTAAATGCAGTATTAAGGATGAAGCTGAAGCCAGGAGGCAGCTGGCAGCTTGACTGAACTAAAGCTCAACTAAGCCTTGTTCTTCCCATAAAAATACAACAAGCTGTACTTCTGAAACATACGAATCAACTTTAAATAACAAAACATTAAATTGCTTTAAATTAAACAGGAGATATTTTTTTTCTTCCATTACATTTTTTTTGTTACTATTTTAGTCACTTCAAGTCTTCAGTTTTTCATTTTACATATTTTACATGTTGGGGAAAACAATATATTAAGATTCTTGTAAGAACTATTAGTTAAGATTATTTAACATAGCATTGTGCAAAAATACAGGACCTGTTTGAGGCTTGGTTTTACTCTCAAATTTAGAATTTTAAATGAGAGTCGGTACAAAAGTTATGCACTTAGCTGTGATGGTCAAACTTTGGATAAAAAGACTGAATATGAATTAATGTCAATAAATATCTTCACCAAAATATGTGTATGTGTGCCCCTCCCTCTACATCCGCCGCTGCAGGAGAAATTCTGGTAATATAACTGTGTTCAGCTAAAGTAATGGGAACCACTAATCTAACCATCCTCAGATTTAGCAGTGCACCAATTCATGTCCGTAAAATATACCCAAAAAGTAGGAAGTAGATTGGAAAGACAGTTTTTGAAATGAGAGGAGGGACATACAAACCAAAATGCAAATATTTAGGTGTTTTTAATTATGTTTTGCCGGTTGTCTGCCTGGATTAGTTCACAAGTTATGCTTCATTACCTAAATTCTTAGAGTATAGCAGTAGTCATTTAAAATGTATTTGTGTAGGAGCGTTTCCTGGAGTCAACACACGTGAACCTGATGGGAAAAAATGACATGCAATGAAAATGACATGCAATGAAAAAAACTATATAACAGTCTCTGGAAGCCACATTAGCCAGTTGAGGGCTAGATTCAAACTCGCACCAAAAATGTAAGCTGTTCAAGTGTGCTCTTGGTTTTATTGAGCAGTAGATTTATAAAAAGAGGTTTACAAATGGGCACTTTCTTTTAAACAGTAGGTTTAAATGAAATTTTAGCAATCAAAACCTAGATAAAGCTTTCTACGGCAATGGAGTGTTTTTTAGGTTAAACATGACCATTGTCATAAGACTAAAGGAGCTTTAACTTTAAAAGCTCCTTAATCACTACTTTAAGAGTAGTGCCTTAAATATGGAAAAAGGAACTTTGTTATGTAGGTATCCTGTGGCCGACAGTCACACAGGAGGTTACTGTTTCAACATTTTACAGAGATTCACTAGCAGTTTCCTACTGTTTCAAGTCTTTACACTTGGCTAAGCTGAGAGTCCAGGCTATAGCTCCATAAAAGAAAAAAAAGTGATGTTGCTGATTGTCTCTGGCAGGGAGTTTAAGCTTCTGTGTTTGTGTGTGTGTTTTATCAGCAGTTATGAGGGGGATGTGGAAAGAAAAAAAAAAGAAAAACAGGATGCTGCCCATCAACACAAAGCAAATAAGCGACAGCTGGCCGAGGAAGCAGGACTCACCACATGAAGGATTTTGTTCTCCGTCTCAAACACCGTACAGTCCTACGGGACGAGAGAAATTTAATGTAGCGCAAGCAGTACATCCTGTCTTGCAAACACTCACCATCTCATGCTGCACATGCTGCTACACTACCTACGTATACAGTCTAGGGCTCACATTACTGTACCCCTACCCTTGACAGATAAAAACACGCCCACACAAACAGACACACTTATCTTTTATTTATATACACACACCAGTCATACATAAGACAGACTGTAAAGGACATAAATAGCAAAGAATTGACTCTCGCTCAAGGATGCAGAGGCTGAGGCTGCTGCATCACACCCACACAGACACACCGCTCTTTGGGGATATGGCACAGCAGCTACCCTCTGCCGCACACTTCAAGTGGCGGGGAATAAGAGCTATAAGCCTTCAAAACACACACACAAACAATTCCACACACCTGCTGTACAATGGTGGTGAGCTCCAGGCAGAGCTGAATGACATTATTTCGGGTTACTGAGTAGTCTGCCACTGCAGCAAAGGGAGACCTGGGGGGAAAGATAACACAGCAGTATGTCTTATAATGTTCCTGCAGCATTAGATGATGTGCAGAGGAGATGGACAGGAGCATTGTTACGGGGAGGGGAGGGAGACACGCCACAAACTAGACTCAAACACAGACACGCATGTAAGAATCCCTTTAATTAGTGAGAGAGAGGGAGTTGCTTTAAAACACAATGGTAAATGAATCTGTGCACTCGGTGAACATAAAGCACAACCAAAAATCTGTGAGGCTCGAGCTGCCGCTAATCGCAGTTATTTTCATTATTGACTAATCACTCAATTATTATTTTTTTTTTTAAATGTAACTGGAAGTTGTTTGGTCTGTTAACCATCAGTAAATAATAAAATCTATAATTACAAGAGCCTACAATGATGTTGTCAACTAGTTTATTGACTCGAAAGTCCTCATAATTTGGCCTTTTTGTCTTTAAATTGACTAATTAATTAACAATGTCATCTATAATGGGGGGGGGGGGGGGGGGGGGGGACAATAATTATTTTGGATTTTGGCCGACTGCAGTATTATTATGATTTATTACTATGAATAAATGCAATGGATAAAAAAAAGGTGTAAAAGCAAAACAAACAAACAAACAAGCCAAAAAAACACTGGGCACTATTCAGGCTCATGTGCAACCCTATGCTCTAATGCACATGCTGTTACATGAAACTGGCAAGACAAGAGACAGGAAATTGTTTTACATTGGAAAAAATATTTTGCAAAGTGGGAAACTAACAACAGTTTTTAAGATCAAAATATATGTAGTATTATGTTTAATATGTAAAATTAAAAGTAATCAAATGACCCTTTTTAAGAATCGTAGAATCGCATACATTATATATTTTTAAACACAATTGATTACTTGGTATCAATACACTTGCCATACAATCAGAAGCTGAACAACCAAAACTGGCACACAGGTAGATTTTATGTCCCTGAAGGTTCTTTATCTTTATCTCATAGCAACCACCTACCAATGGGCTAAAATGACCTATTTTATGTACTTTTACTAATTTATATGTTTATCATTTTCATTTCATGAAAACTACATATAATTATAACGCCTTGCCTTAAAACTTGAATATCTTGATAAATTAGGACATCACCTAACAGTGGACTATAATGGAATCAATATAGTAGAGTGGAACACAAGTATTGCAGGAGACCCACAAAAATGTGCTAATTTTTATGCAGTCAACCTCATGTTAATCTTGTATTTATTTATATACACAAGATCTAATTAAAAATGTTTTTTTTTTTTTTAAAAAAGCTTCAAAGTAAATTGGAATACAAAGTACAATGTTTACATCTAAAATGTAGTGGGAGAAAAAGTACCCTGGGGCTGGTGCCACCCCGTGCCCCCACTCTGTACATACCTGTTAACTTTACGACAATGAAAGTAGTTATTACCTTACAAATTTGTAAGGAGAGTATGTTGTTTTTCCTTTTTGTTGTGTTTGTTTGGAGCAAATAAGGAAAAAGAAGAACAAAAAGAAGAGTTTTGTTGTGATGTGGTGGCTTCATCTTTGGTACAGGCTCACAACTGTACTCACAACTTTTCCACTTTATTGATTATTCTTCAAAGGTGAATTGATTGTTTTGTTTGTTGAATATCAGAAATGGTAAGATACACTGACCACATGTTGCCATCTGTCTCGGAGTGGTTTTCAAATCTTAATAAGCCAGTCCTCATTTCCCTGCCTCAGTCTCCATCTCTTCGTTACTGAACGAAACAAAATCAGCACCAGTCCTTTCTTCTTGTTGGCAGCCAGTAGGCTTGTATGTGTCCTGGCTTGTTAGATAGTGGTACAGCTTGAAGGCTTGCTGGTAATTAAATCCACCAGATCTAAAACCAAATCGTTTTGCCAGGACAAGCAGCAGAGAAAAGTGGCAAAGTATCATATTTATGAAGCTCAAAACAGAATGTCTGTTTTTTTGGCTCAATTAACCCATTACCAATTGGCAATTGGCAATTACTGACTTTCTGCAGCACGACAAATATCAATGCTCCATCACTTTATAGCATTAAAAAAAATAAAAATCATCAAATCTATATTTAAAAAGCCAAATTGTTTATGCAACTACTATCTTGTTATCTTGTATGTAATTCACTACTACTGTCAGAAGGAAAGGGTTATGCACTGTTAAGCTGTTATAACGATGATGATATAGAGGAGCTTTGGGAGTCTAGACTTGTTTAATTTATATTTATAAAGATCAATTTTGGTGGTGCAGAGGTTTTAAGAAGTTGAAAACTGGAGCCATAAAGAGTTAATTTGTGGTTAGCTTCCTTAGAGGACTTACAAACACTGGTTTGGAAAACCATAAATGGATGTCTGGACTGAACGCTGGATAGGTGACATGGCAGAACATGTGGGGGTGGATTGTTGAAGCAGAGCTGAAGACTCCTCCACTGTCCACTGGCCTGCACATACTCTTGGCTTTTTAGATGGACATAACAAATTAGTTGCCATCTTGGTGTTTGAAACTAGACATGACGATCAAGTGGCATATCTGACCAAAACTGAGGGATGTTGCAGTTTCATAGTAAAACATGCCCTACTTTCTCATCTATTTCACTCTACATGAAACCCTAATTTACAGAATAAATGAGTTGCAACCAGAGGAGTCACCCTCTGTTAAAGAACAATGCAGAATGAAGGCACTCCTGCATTGGTTTCACTTTGCAGAAGCTCTGTCATTTGGATGCAATCTATGCTCAAACCTCATACTTAACTACAGCCATTAACCGAAACATACCCAATAATAAAAGAAAAGTTTAAGAACAGTAAAAAAACAAAGTTTGTTATTTGAATATGAATATGTCTCTGCTGCGAGTATGCAATCCAAACCACTGCAGGTAGGTTTCAGGGGATTGAACAGTAATGCACTTTCTCTAAAGAAAGAGGACACAGCAGCAGTGGACAAAAGACAGAAAGTGCGTTAGTGAACCAGGTAAATAGGCCATCTTGTTCTGAGTGCACCAATTTACACACCTTATACTGACTATTTCTCATTTCAGCTCAGGTTTTAGAAATAAACAAACAAAAAAAGCACAATTTAGACATGGATGTTCTTTCTTTTTTTAATCTGGTTTCGGTCTGAAAGAAATAAATTGTGCGAGAGGAGCTATTAGGCCACTTTGGATTCATTAAGCTACTTTGCCACTGGCATTGTCAATTCCCAATGTCTCCCACATGTCTGTATGCTCGGTCATAGTTTCCACTAAAGTGTGCACACTCTGCTATCAAGTTTGTTTTTATAAAAAACTATTTTTTTTCCTGTGAGAGACGAGCTTCTAAAGCCCCTTTTTGTGCCAACACAATGTTTATAAATGGACCTCTTGTCACACTGAAGCATAATGGACTATTCAGGTATGGAGAAGGTGTTAACGATAAGGTACATGCTGCGGCTAATGGGGTGCTAATGACGGCACACACACACACATACACACACATACATACACATACATACACATACACACACACACAGAGAGAGACGAATCCAAGGAGCGTACAGTACTATAAATGTTAGTGCACATTGATGACATATGGGTTGCACATACAACGTAATGAAGTGAATGGAAAGATGCACACTTCCTTCATTGTTCTAAAGACCCAGATTAAAATTCGGCCACAGCCTCTAGTGTATGATTTATCTGTGGTGTGTGTGATTTGGGTCATCAGTATTGAGGCTGAGTGCTATATATATATGCAGGACCTAAGGCTATGCAGACTGTTTGCTAACCACCAGGCCCCAGTCCTCAAACAACAGTTTTTACCCCAACTAGAGTCTATGATGATACTACAGTGTAGGGTACCTTGAGTTTATTAAAACCCCAAAGGTCCAAAAAGCAAACAAAAAAAGATAAATGAGGCAAAGCCACATGGCCCAAATATGTTTGCATTACATTCATAAATCTTTGCATGAAGACATCCCTCGTCCTTCTGAGGAATTCCAATGTTTTTAAGTTTTCTTTCATGTTTGAAAATCCAGTTACAACTGTCTATACATTAATAGCTACATTGTAAACACTTGGTACTAAGGTGTAGTACAGATAAAGATAAAAATGTGCAGCCTTTATTTGTAGTCCAACCTTCCAAACTTACTATTCTTAAAGTCTAACTTCGTCATATCTCAAAAGATAGAAAGATCTATTTAAACTGAGTTTAAAAATGTCTAAGGATGCTGACCTCAGAGCTAGCTGCAAATAAATGTAAGTAATCAAAAAAACACACAAAAAAGGATGATGCTTTTGACTCCAGGATGCGCCTGAGAATCATCAGTTTTGAAAATAATCCAGTTATAGTTTTCTGGATCTGGATTCACTGTAAACTAGAACTGCTAGAAGCTAATTTGGCAAACTTTCAAAAGTGAAGTAAATATAGGGTAAACTAAAATGGACATCTCTATAGCTCATAGCTTGACAGACTGAATCTAGCATTCCTCCTGTTTATATCACCCAAAGCATTTTATACTCTTATCATTTATATTTCTACAAGAGTAACTTTCTTTTCTGTCTTCATTTCATTTCAGAAAGACGTTTCCCTTATTTTCCTCTATGAATTTGAATTTGTCACTTAACCTTCAATGTTTGATTGCACCTGTCTGTTTTTTTGAAGGATGATTTTATTTAGTATGCAGGCCATCTTTGAGTGGTTTTGTTTCCTTATGCTAGGGAATACTCTGGTAGGAGACTGTGACACAACCAGAATTAACCAACAGATTGAAACTGCCATCTTGTTGCCTTTGAAATGATGATTTAGAAGACAGAAGCCAGCCATTCATAATAGTTGGCCCCCTTAAAGTGAATTTGGTGTTCATGATAAGACAGCAATTAGATGGAATTAGTTTAATTCAATTTTCAATTCACTTCAATTTTATTAATAGCACCAAATAACAACAATAGTCACCTTAAGACGATTTATATTGCAACATAAAGACCCTACAATAATACAGAGAACCCCAAAAATCAGAAAACCC